TCTCGTTTGCTTTTTAAAGCTCACAGTCAACAAATGCTTGGTGCTACATCCTCCCAACGATCCTATATGGTAGGGATTGCTATCTCTGTTCTGTGGATTAGGAAACCAAGGCATAAGAGGTTAAGAAACTTGTTCCAAGACATGAACTAGAGCTGAGGTTCAAACCCAAGCAGTCTGAGTTCAGTCTTCACTTTTAACTTCTGTGTTCTATACAGAGCTGCCCATCTTTTCTCTTCTGCCCCCTCTTGTTTCATGGCCCTGTCCCCTAGCGGGATAGAGAAGAGCCCCCAGGGCATGATCTCTGGGATCTCATCCTAGTGCTACTTCTGGTAACTTCAGCTGCCAGGCCATGGAGCACAGTGTCTTAGGCTTTCACACAGGCTCTTTTTCCCTCTGCAGCTATCTGACTCATAGCACCGTGAATAGCCATAGCTCTTCTCTCCCACCCCCATCCTTGTCTCTGACCTTACCCCTGCCCTGTCTGCCATTGCAAAGATCTGTATGGCAGCAAAGATGTGGGAGATGGAAGTAGTGGGGAAGCCGTGCTGCCTCCTGCTGGTGTTTGGTGCCTCTGCCGTGGATGCTGTGGCCTCACCAGGCTGGGTCGTGAGCAGGCTTTTTGAGAACCAGTTGCTCCTCTCTTCTGCCAGCTGCCAGAGGACTGTTTGGGTTGGTCCAGATGAGGGAAGGAAGGGCCAATGAGGTGATGTGGCTTATTTAAGTCACATAGCAAGGAAGGGGCAGAGCTGTACTAGAGTGTGGGACCCCTGCCCCTCCCTGTCTGCTGACTAGGGCTGTGCTCCTTGGGTCCAGGGCTGTCCGAGGTCCTGCTGCGAGGAGGTGGTCAGCTGTTGCTTGGCTGGGTGCTCCATTATTTCCCCTTCTTCCTGATGGGCCGGGTCCTCTACTTCCACCACTACTTCCCAGCCATGCTCTTCTCCAGCATGTTGACAGGTCAGCACTGCCCACCTGGTCTTGGTGATAAGGGTGGAGGATGGGGAGGGGAAGAGGCCACCATTGAGCAGCATTGCTGACACTGAGTCTCTGCTGCACTGACCTGGGCAGCCCCTTTCTGTTGCATCTGTGGAAGTCATCCTTTGATGGGCTATGCTAAGTTTCCCTTTTCTCCGCTAGGTGTTCTGTGGGATACTCTCCTCCGGCTCTGTGCTTGGAGCCTGGCTTCTTTTTCTCTGGCCAGCAGCATCCATGTGCTGGGAGTCCTGAGCCTGGTCCTGGGAACTGCCTACAGGTGAGCATCCCCTGCACCTTGCATTGCTGCTACCTGGCCCCAACCCTAATGCCTCAGCCCTGGATGCATTTTTTAATTCCCTGGGGTGCTTCCAAGGCATACAGGTGCCTGGGTCCTATTTCCAGAGGTTCTGATATAGTCGAGCCCAGTTTGGACCCTGTCAACCACAGCTTTCAAAGCTCCTCAAGTGACCCTACTGTGCAGCCAAATAGGAGAAACATGAAACTCTATATTCTTTCCTTGGCCAGTGGTTCCCAGCTTTTGTGCCAGTGGCACACTTGGAGGGCACCTCTCTTTAGGCACAGTGGCTCCCTCCTGGAATAGTGCTCCATGGGGTAAGAGAGAGGGTGGGTTGAGAGGCATGGGGTGTGTGGTGTGCCTCAGAATAGTTGGAAAGAGGGTGTTGTTTGGAAAGCCACCCTGCTCGCTCCACCTTGCCAATCTCACAGATCCCTTGTTGAGAGTCACTGGCTTTTAGGGGCCAGGGGGCAACATAAAAATGTGAGCAGGGAATGGCGACCTGTGTCACCATTTAACAAATACTTTGGGCCAGACCCCTGGACTAGTCTCTCTCCTGGGCCTCTGGGGAAGAACCCTTTCCTTTATTGTCATTAAATCAGCATCTGCTAAGCTCTCAGGCTACAGTGTGCCGGTGGTGCACTCAGGCAGACGTGGCTATGAAAGGGAGTGGGTCTTGTAGGTAGAGAAGATCTGACGAGCTCCAGCAGGAGGAGCTGAATTTCAGAGTCTGCCTTGCTGCTCGTCTCCACTGAGGCACCAGGATGCCCACTGTCTCCCTCTGGATTCTCTCTCACAGCTTCTACCTCTTCCACCCTCTTGCTTATGGGATGGTTGGTCCCCTCGCCCAGGACCCCCAAAGTCCAATGGCAGGACTGAGATGGCTGGAATCATGGGACTTTTGAAGCTGTTGCAAGGACTCCAGTCTCAGTCCAGGAATTTCCTGGGGATAGCCAGCTGTGGAGCCAGTCCCTGGACCCTCCCAGCTGTGGATGAAGCTCCCCAAGGAGCCTGAGGAATTCTGTTGCCTGCCAGGACCAAGCTCTGGGCGCATTCCCGGAATTACACAACACTGGAGAGAGCCACGGCTCTGTCTGCGGAGATTCCACCGCTGGGGATGGCTCGGCCCCAGAGGACAGCATCTCCCAGGCCTGTTTCCCCAAGTGTGCAGCATAAGGAAGGATGAGTGTACAAGAGTGAGTGGGAGTGTGAGAGTGTGAGAGTGTATTTGTCCACATGCCTGTGGAATATAGACGGTAACTGTGGATAGCTGAGTGTCATAAACTCTAAGAAATAGTCCAGGGCTACAGTAGTATTTTCTGTTTTTTTTTTTTTTTTTCCCCACACTGGATTTGGTTTGTAAATAAGACCCAGCAGTAATTATCTGACCTCCAAGAGGCTGAGAGCACTGACCCAACCTTGGGACATCACCCAGGGCAGAGCAAATAGGACTGGCAGCTGTGCTGCCCTCCTTACAAACAGCTACAGCTGAGTACCCCTGAGCTGGAGGGCTGGCCTCCCAGCTGCTTTCCCAAGTGGCTGCTGTTGAGAAGTCTCCTGTGTGGCCCAGGTGGCTGGACTTCCTATCTGCGGTGTGCACAGAGGATTGGGCTCCATAGCAAGGCAGCTGAGGACTTAAAAGCCCTTGGTTGGCCCTCCTTGGCCCTTAGTTCCTTGCTCTCTGAGAATGTCACATGATAAGATTGGTGGGGGGAATGGCATCCTATCCTTGGCTGCTCTGTCTTCCCAGGCCCTGGGCGCCAGAGGCAGTTTCTTGCTGCCCATCCCTTTCCCTCTGCATCCAGCCTGGCTGTGAGGACAGGACAGACACATTCTCCTGAGAGCTGGGAGAGCCTTTAGGCCCCTTGCTTAGCTGCCGAGAAAGACGTGCAGCAGAACAGGGGTTTGCATGGTGCTGGTCTGGGGTCCCAGGGTGGGCTCATGTTCCTGTCACTCATTAAGTCTTCCCTGTTTTTACTTCTCTAGTCTTTCCCTGCTGACTCCATTTCATTTCCCTACCTCTGTGTCATTGTTTCACCAATCTCTTTCCCCAAAGACCCAGAGCGCCTAGAAATGCCTTAAAGCTTCTACTCTGTATCACTTTGAAGCCCAGACAAGAAGCTCAGAGCTGTTCCTTTCACTTCCTCCCCAAATGAAAGGGATTTAAAAAAAACCCTTGGGTCGCAACCTAACCAACCCAAGGCCAACCCTTCAGCCTCCTCCCTCCTCCCAGTGCATGACAGAACACTTATTTTGTCTCAGAGGACTGTGATGCTTCAAGATTAATGATAAATCTGTGCCACACTCCATCTTCCCTCCTCTGTAGCCCCCACCAACTCTGACAGGGTCAGAGCTCTTTAGAGCATCTTCAGGAGGCGGTTGCCACGGAGACTAGAAATTGGTACCAGGGACAGGCTGTGATACCTACTGGGTGGCGGGGAGGGAAGCTTCTGGCCATGCTTAGACATTCAGACCAACTTTCACTAATGTTAATAGAGGAAATACAGCAACATCAAAAGCAAGGAAGGTTTATTAATTAGATCTGGGCCTGATGACCTCCTGCTCCCAGGGCTATAGTCCTTTTGACTTCCTCCAGCAGGAAGCACTGCCTGTGGGCTGAGTCTGGGCTGCTTGCTTAATTGCATTTCTAGAAGGGAAGGAGAGCAGGGATGGAGAACCTCTGTTCACCCCTGTCACCCCACCATTGCCCTCCCCTCCTCCCTACAGACAGCATTGGTTTCTTCTGAGTTGTATGGGGGCAGCCATCTGGGTGGGCTTTCCTGGAAGTAGGATGCAGGACTCTGCGCTTGGCTCTTAGCAAAGAACAGTGGCCCCCCCATGACAGCTGGGAGGTAGCTGAAGTTCCCTTGTGCCTTGTGCTTCCTAATAGGAACTCTTTGGAAGGGAGGCGTGCTGAAGGAGACAGAAGGGTAGCTACTCTGAGTGAGGGTGAGGAAGAAGAAGTCTCAGGCAACTTCCTGCCCATCTCCCTGTTAATTTGGCCACACAGGGGACAAAAGTTTTCTCTGTCTCTTCCACTGCTTTCTGAGGATGAGAGAAGGAGAATTGTCTGCCCACTCCTTTTCTTCCTTCTTGCCCAGACGGGCAGATACTTCTCTGGGGACAAGGCTACATGGGTTGATGTAGCTTCACGTGCTCAGGTTCGGTTGCTGGAAGATGCTGGGCAGATGGGCTGTCAGGGTGGTGCTTTAAATATGAGCCCCAGCCTCCGGGAATTGGCAGAAATGTGACATGCCCCGCAGACTTGCTGGTGGAGGAAGAAGACATGCGTTAATCAGCCCAACCTCCAGTCAGCTTCTTGAGCCACATTTTATATTTAAAAAGTTTCCACAGATAATCAGACACTGTTTACTTTTATAATAAATAGCTCTTATTTGAACGCCACGTTGTTCTTGTTGTATTTAATTGAATCTGACTTGCCCTCTAGCTCCCAGAAAGAGATGAAGAATGTTTTAAGTGCAAGAACCATTCTGTTGTGTCTGGGGTCTGAGGCCGTTCTGATTCCAGAAGAGGCCCTGGGCTGGGCAGGTGAGCCTGATCTTACTCCAGGGGGCATTTAGGCCCTCCCATGTACAAGGTTACTTGAGTAATGTTGTGTTATTTTGATTTATTTAAACTTATTCCAAAATAAGTAGGAAACTAGACCTTAGTTTTTCTCTTTTAACCTGTTCACACAAGTATAGAAAGGAGTGAGAGAGAAACAGTTGTCCTCTTCTGAGACAGCTGAGGGGCCCAGCATTCTAGCAGCTTCCATCCTGCTTTACCAGAGGCCCCCATCTTGGCAGGGGTCTCCTGTTATCAGGAGTGCTGTCAGGGGTCCGAAGTAGGTCAGAGCTGACTCACGTAGGTGGGCGAGTAGGTGGGCGAAGAGAGGAGCAGCACTGCACTGTGAAATTGGGGGTCTTCTGGGCTGCCCGACTCCCTGCTTCCCTCTTAGCACCAAGAGTAGCTGGGGGTGGGAGAGGCAGGTGGGTCACGCAGATCTTTAGGAGATGGAAAATGCTGAGGATAGGCACATTAGAAAAGGACCAAACACTTCTTGACTGGCACAGTTTAGTTTACCAAATCCTCACACTTCTGTGACACTTAGTCTTCATAAAGGCCCGGTGAATAGTGGGGCCAGGATTAGGCACCAAGTTGGGCTTTTCCTGCTTCTCCAGCCTGGGTCTGTGACTAGAAGTACCTTACCGGAACAACCTGGCAGCCCCGGATCCCCGGGAGAGGAGACCTGGGCTCAGCTCAGAGGTGTCCAGGTTCAGCCTCTCCCTTTGTACTTTCAGTCCAACACACCGACAGCTCATCTCAGGCCCGATGTTTCCTGCTGCACCCAGACCAATGGTTTTCTGGGAGGAAAAAAGCCCCAACTTGTAGCATTTGCCAATTTCCTTGGTGCAAATACTCCTACCATGGCCTATTTCAGGCTACCAACCTGATGTCACTGAATGAGTTGGAAATATGCTCACAGTGGGTTCTCACAAGTCATCTAAGAGCCAGTTCTAGTACGCCATTGACTTAGCCAGACCCAGTGACTTTGGCTTGGTCTGAACTATGGACACAGCTCTTGGCCACAGTGCATTAACATGAGGCAGTGGCGCATGAAGGCCTAAGGATGGGCTAGAGTGAGACCTGAGGTCAAATCTTGGCCCCACCGCTTATTAACTATGTGACCTTGGGCTAGTTACTCAACCTCTTTGCCTCTGTTCCCTCAATGGTAAAACGAGGGTATAATAGTACCTGCTTCATAGAGTTATCAAGATGAAAAGAGTTAATGATGCAAAGTGCCTTGCACAGGGTCTGGACATGAATGCTCAGTAAATGCTAGCACTTCATTGTTGTTTAGGATAAATTGACCCCAATGACGGCACTGTTTCTAGAATAGTATTTGAACTTCCTTGATTAGAACCTCCTGCCCAAGTTATGGACAGATGCCAGGCAGGGAGGGGAGCTCCTGTGACTTTTCTTCAGCTTCTCAAATGTGGATTCAGACCCTAATCTGGTTGGAATACAACACCCTGACTGCTTAGGCGCAGCTGGATTCTCAGGCCTTTTCTCCAAGGAGAGAAGAGATTAGCGTGCATAGCCCTCTCCTGCCTCCTCCTGGCTCTAGAAAGGCTAGAAAAGCTAAGGCTATTACCTCCCATTAACTTATCAGACCCCAGACCCTATCCAAAGGAGAAAGGAGGCAAGAAGGGTCCCGAGTGTAGACAGTTGCCAGGGAGTGCAAACGGGGTGGAGTGGAAAGCTTCTGATGAGCCAGGTGGCCTGCACGGAGCACCGGACGTCTGTACTCTGAAAGAGGGAAAAGGTCTCTGGAGACGTTACCTTCCCCTGTGACCTGCTGCACCTGGCTGCAGGGCCACGGGATACCGAGCTGGAAGTCAAGTCCCTGAATACCCTTGGCTTTCTTCTCCCTTCAGCCTCCAGTCCCTTTGTGCTTTTAGCGAGGCCCTCTTGGACTCTTCTGGACACAGGCCAGGCCGCCTTACAGCCCTGCTCTCCTGCTCCATCCCAGAGGCCCCAGAGCTGTGTGGGGAGATGGGCCAGAGAGGACTAGGGGGTACTCAAACTTCTGGGTCCTTGGAAGAGGGAGAGCTGCTAGATGGCTTCATTGGGCTTGGTTGGGAACACGAAAGAGGAGTTCTGCTGAGGTCCTTAGTCTTGATTCAGGGCCAGAAGGAGAAGTTCTAGAAGGCAAGGAAGGACTCAACATTCCATACCCAGTACAGGGCTCGCCATGGAGCCGCAGCCTGTTCGTAACCGATGGCCCCAGAACACCTACTTACCTTGTATCCATGAAAACAAAGGAGGTGGACTGAGAGGCCCCCAGAGACCTCCATACCCAGCCCAGCTGTACATCAAGTACAGCTGAGGAAACTGAAGGAGAGGAGGGTACAGACTGAAGGAGAGGAGGGTACAGACTGAGAGGAGACAGGCTCAGACACTCACAAATAATGACAAACGAGGGTGAGAAATGAGCTTGCTTTCCCAGCCCTGGGCCATGGGAACTGGGCTGGGGCTTGAGGAACTTTCATCCTTGAAAGAGAAAAGTTAGGTCTAATTGACAGGCAACTAACTTCACACCCTGAATGGCAAGCGTGAGATTCTGTGCCTGAACTTACATATTTAGTAAAATACTACTTCTATTTAAACTTTTTAAAAAGTCTTAAAAATCATGGGATAGAATGTTCGAGCTTAACTCCCTCAATGTCCAGGTAGTGCAGAGTTCACAGCTGCTGCCCGGAAGAATGGAAGACCCCACCTTGGCCAAGCAGAGCTGGGGTTAGGAGTGGAGCCCACAGATCTCTAAAGATGGAGTCCCAGGGAACCACAGGCCTAGTTGGAAATGGCTGCAGCCTTGGCCCTGCCCCTCAGGCTGAGAGCCCTGGTGTGGGGTTGCCTCAGTCAGACCCAGAACTAGGGCAGAGGGCGCACCCAGCCTCAGCCTGGTCACACAGGTAGGTGACGTGGCATCCCCAGGTCCGACCTTAGGAAAGAAGGAAAAGGACTCTGTGGCACAAGGTCCACAAGGTCCACAAGGGTGGCAAACGCAACCATTTCCAAGCAATATTTGAATGAGTCTTGTGGAGAGGTGGCTTATATAGAGCCTACCCAAGGTAATTAAATTCAACACGGTGCCCTAACTAGTAGGTGGTCACATGGTACCGCCCGTTTCCAGGTGAGAAACAGGCCCAGAGAGGCTCAACGATTTCTGTTAAGCTCTGAAGCTCGGGCATTTCCCATGCCACCAGGTCGTCTCAGGCCAGAGCTGGTTGCCTAGAGATGTGCGCGCCTTGATGCACGGAGTTGGGCGAGGGCCGCGGTTGCTTTAAAGCGTCCGGGTCCCGCGGTGCGGGGTGGGGCGCTCTCGGAGCCGCGGGGCCGGAGCAGGGTCCCTAGAAGCGCCAGAGGGGGGCCAGCAGGGCTGGGGCACACCCACCCAGGGCAGGGAAGTAGAGGTGACTGGATCCCGCCCAGCCGAGGTGCAGGAGCCACAGGGGGTGCCAAGTGGTCCGCGTCGCCCCAGAGATGGCGCGGCACGTGCAGTGACTGTGCCAGCATCCAGAGGGTCCCAGCCTTGCTCCCCGTGTCCCTGAGCGAGTATGGAGCGCCCGGAACCCGAGCTGATCCGGCAGAGCTGACGGGCGGTGAGCCGCAAGCCGCTGGAGCATGGCACAGTCCTGTTCTCCAGGTGAGGGTGGCCGGAGCGCCCCGGGGGTGCGGGCCTGCGGGGTCCTCGCCAGGAATGGGTTCCAGGTGGCTGACCCGGCGCCAGAGCAGGGAGAACCGGCCCGCTGCCTTGGCGCTGGGGCGCCTCCAGATGCGCGCCAGAGGAGCCGCGCGCAGCGACGGGTGGTGCAGCCCCTTCTGCTCTTCACTCGGCCAACGAGGGCGCGTCTTGCATCCAGCGCTGCACACTCGCTCCCCACGCGGCTCGCTGAGAGCCAGCGGCGGTCCTCACCGGGACCTCCTTACGCTCGGGCCCGCAGACGCCAGTTCCCGCGCTGCGCCTCCTCCTGATTGCTCTTTCCTTGGATGGTGACTTCAGGGGTCCCCACGGCTTCCAGTAAGGGGAGACTGGGGTGTCCCCAGGGCCCACGCAGGGAGGGTGTGCTGGGCACCTGGCTGGCGGGGCACAGGGTCGGGCCCCAGGAGAATGCACTTCCAGCAATTAATCAAAGGATAAATCTTTCCGAGGAAAGGACCGGGCTAGGACAGAGAACTGCCAGGGAAGGGATGACAGATGGCCAGTGTCACCACGGAGAAGGGGTAGGGGATGCACAGCCCCTAAGGGGGAGGAGGAGACCAGTCTTCAACCTCAACTTGAGGGGCTCTGGATAATCCCTCTCCCACCACCAACGAGGCCAGGCACCCTTTCAAGACGGTTTTCCAGGATCCTCCTCTCCCTAAGGCAGCCCAGAACTTCTGAGGTAGCTTTGCCAAACCTCCCCACCAACAAAAGGGAAATAAATTCACAGAGTTCCACGAAACCCTGATGAGCCCTCCCAGATGTCTGAGAGCTTCTGCTTGTGCCTCCAGGCGTTCTCCAAGCCCACCGTTTTCTCGGGCACCCTCTGTGGTTCCACTACCCCCAAGCCATGTGACCTTCGCAAGTTACTCGACCTCTTTGGGCTTGTTTCCTCTATAAAACTGGGGTAACAGTTGTACCCACTGCTTAAGATTGGGAGGAATACACAAGTTAACCATGTGTAAAGAACTCAGTTCTCAGTAAGTGTAAGGAGTTCTTAACACTATTATTATCATCACTTTGTCTCCTCAGAAGTGATGAGACTGGGAGATTCCGACCTAAGAATGGGAAGGGGGAGGAGAGGGGAGAGCGGGGAGAGACAAGGGCTTTCCTCTCCCCGCAGTGTAATTCCAGACTTCCTGTCTGAGGATCCCTTCTTGTCCCAGCACCCTTCAACTCTTTATGGAGGGGCTGCTACATGCCAGGTCCTATGAGTGGCCTGGGGACACATGCTTCTTCTAGGAAGAAGAGGCTGCCAATGCTGGTGAAGGGGCCAGTGCAGGTTGGAGGCTGTGCTACAGTTAGGCGGGGACCCTGGCCCACCGCCACTCCCACTTCAGGCAGCCAGGGCCTGCAGGGGTTGACACCCAGGGCTGACACCTGGGCCTCCCCCTACAGGCTGTTTGACCTGGAGCCTGACCTGCTGCCCCTCTTCCAGTACAACTGCCGCCAGTTCTCCAGCCACGAGGACTGCCTCTCCCCCTCTGAGTTCCTGGACCACATCAGGAAGGTGAGGGTAAGGCGGAGTGGCCCTGGGATCCAGCAGAAGCCTTTCTGGGGAGGATGAGGGACTTGGGATTGGACAGATTATTTCTGTTTTCTGCCCCAGGCCTGGTCTTACTCTCCTCCTTCTGCTTCCTCATGTCAGGGGCATCTGCTCCTTTCCCTGTGCACTGAGCTGGGCCCAGTCTGAGGCACCAGAATCAGCCTTCTCCCCGACCCTGTGCTCAGCCAGATGGTCCCAGCTGCCATTGTCCTCTGCCTTGTCCCCCTGGCTCCTGTAGGTGGTGTTGGCGCTGACATACTTGGTGCTATAGGCCTATGAAAACCCGGCTGGGGTTTTCTTAGAGGCTCTCGACTCTCACAGGACCTCAGGCAGAGAGCACTGTCCTGCAGGCATGGTTAGGGCTTTGAGACCCTCAGAAGGGAGGGGCTTCGTTCATGGTGTAATATTAGTAGCTTGGCCACCACATGCTGAGCACCTACTACACGCAGACATGGGTTGTCTTCCATTTCTGATCCTCGAAAACTGAGGGTCCCGGTGACTTCTCTCACCTCTGGTTGGGATCCCCAGGTTCTGGACTCTGGTTGTGAGCAGGGGGGTTTCTCTGGCCTCTCAGTTTCAGTGCTGCCTTGGCTTTGACAGGTGATACTTGTGATTGACGCTACTGTGACCAATGTCGAGGACCTGTCCTCACTGGAGGAGTACCTTGCTGGCCAGGGCAGAAAGCATCGTGCAGTGGGTGTCAAGCTCCGCTCCTTTTCGGTAGGTAAAGAGGCCCTTCCTTTTTCCAGAGTTCCTGACCTGCGGCCACTACTCTGTCTCTCTGTCCTCCCCTGTCTTCCCCACTCCTATACCCTCAGATGACCAGGGCTGGGGCCTGCCTCTGGTACTTACCTGCTGTGTGACCTTAGTACTGCCCTGACCTCTCTGAGCCTCCAGTTTTTCTTCTCTAGTATGGCTGCTTTTAGAATCATAGAAAGTAAAGGAGCCTTTGGGATTAGGGGGTCTGCTCATTTTCTATTGCTGTGTAGAAGACTATCCCAAACAAACAACAATTTCTGATTTCTTTTGGTTCAGAGGCGTGGTTCTTTGGTTCCACATGCTGTGGCTAGAGCCACTCATGCAGGTCCTTCAGCTGGAAGCTTGTCTGGGGCTGAAATATCCAGGATAGCCTGTCATCCTTGGGGTCTCTCTCCCTGTGGCCTCATCATTTCGTAGTCTAGCCAAGCTTCTGCACGGAGGAGCAGCTGAGTTTAAGAGGGAGTGTTCCAAGAGGACAAGCCGGTGTCCAAGCACTCTTCCAGACTCTGCTTGCATCACTCTTGCTAATGTCCCATTGGCCAAAGCCAGTCAGATGGGTGAGCCGAGGGTCAAGGTAGAAGGCCCCTACTCAAGGCGAGGTTCATGGGGGGCTTCTGACGTGACAGTCTACCACATAGTCTAGTCACCTTGCCCAATGGTAAGCACCTTGAGGAAGGGACCGAGTTTGTCTCCGTCCCCAGGATTAGCACAGTGCCTGGTCTTCAGTGGATATTCAGTAAATATTTGTGGAATAAATAAACCTTATTTTATTACGACTACTAACGAATGAGAGCAATTATTATTGTTGAAGGCTTACTGTGTACAGATGCTGTGCTAAGAGCTTATTATAGGTATTCTCAATCCTTCAACAACTTAATGAATTGGAACTTTTTTCCCTCTGTTTTACTGATGAAGCAACTGAGGCTCAGAGTTGCTCAAAGTCATACAGTTCATAAATAGTGGAGTCAAAAAGTGAGCTCAGGTTCATGTGTTTGTGAAGCCTGGGCTCTTAACACCATGAATGCTACCTTGCAGAGAAGGAAACTGAGGCCTGAGGGCAATGACTTTGCTTGATCTGAGCCGGGGGTCCCAGGCAATGCCTCAGCCTCACGCTTGGGGTAGTTGCAAGGCTGGCAGTGGAGCGAAGTAAGTGTTCATTATAAAGCCTCAGATTTAAGGGGAAAGGTGGGCATAACGTGGTAGCCAGGGATTGGGCAGAATCCTGCTCAGGAAGCATGGACCCTGCGCAGCAGAGAAGAAAGGCCCAGGAGCCCTTACCAGGCGCAGGCCTCAGTTTTCTCACCAGTGGAATGGCGTGATGCCTTCCTGCCTTCGGGAATGACCGTTGCCCCTTGCCTCTGCAGGCAGTGGGTGAGTCCCTGCTCTACATGCTGGAGAAGTGCCTGGGCCCCGCCTTCACACCAGCCGTGCGGGCTGCCTGGAGCCAGCTCTATGGGGCTGTGGTGCAGGCCGTGAGTCGAGGCTGGGATGGCGAGTAAGAGGCAGCGCCTGCCCAGCAGCCTCCACCTGGCGGCTTCTGTCTGTCTGTGTCTGTCTGTTGGTCCATGTCTGTTGCAGCCCAGGCTCCCCTAGTCCTCCCTGCATCCTTGTCCTATTGGCCATAGTGGAGAGGTGATGGAGCAGGGCTGAGTCTCTGTCCCCTACCCCAACCCCCACCACCCACTTAAGTGCAGGCAGGGGGAAGGGGGTGGCTTTTCCTTCAGGAAGGGACTTCTGGATTTTCCCACGTCCCCAGTAGCTTCTCCCTGCCTGTCTGATTTCCTCTCTGGCATGCCCTCTTCTGCCATGAGAAGGAGCAGTATTTTGGTGGCACAGGTGACATGGGGCTGGCAAGGTCTAGGGCTTTAAGAGAATGGGCTCTTGTTCCAGCTACCCTTCTCTGGTGAGCCAGGGCCAAGTCGGGCAGGGGGATGGCTGAGCTCCGGGCACCTTCCCATCTCGCCTGCCTTTAATGCTTTTCTCTCCCAGGGGTGTTTGCTTTTCACAAGGAAAGAGGAGGAAAAACTTGAGCCTTCACGGTGGAATCACAGGCAGGTAATCACGAGAATCGCTGAGGAAAGGAGAGGTGACCTGGCTCTGTGAGAGGGCTCATCGGGGTCCCAGGGGCCTACTACGATGTCACCTGACCAAGTAGTTTTTCTTCTGCAGTATCTCCCTTTCCCTCACTCAGCATTCCGGTGGGCGCTCCATTATTATCTCTGTGTAGGAACCAGTTGGCCGACTGGGGTGGGGCTGCGTAAGGCCAAGGAAGGAGGGGTGACTTCATTCCGGAGAGACTTCATTCTTCCTTACCACCCACTGCAGCAGGGCCTGAGTCTCATCTCTCCAACCCTCCCTTCTGCCTCTGCCTGCAACGACTGCAGACCCACAGCACCCCATCCTTTATAGCTGGTGTGTGCCTGTACTTAGGCAGGTGGAGAGAAGAAAAAGCAGTGGGAGAGGCCCTCTGCTCTCACCCTGAGCTGTCTGCACTTTTATCCTTTGCTCCGTGCTGTGGTCGTATAAACTCATGGAGGATAAACCTGTTCTGTGTGCTTCTCTGACCTTCTAGGACTGGTCTTTTCTTGGGTGTCAACTTATGCCAGATGAAGCTTGCAAGGGGTTGGATCTAAGGCAGGGTGGGAGGATGGGGTCAAGAGGACCAAGGCTAGAGTGGGTGGAAATGAAGGGAGAGGCCTGGGGAAGCCAAGCCAGTAGCTGAGATGGAACTAGGAGTCTGTGGTGGAAACTGCCTGTCAGAGCACCAAATCCAGCTATTCTTCCTTCTAGGCACAGAGATGGACTACATTTCCCAGCCTCCCTTGTAATTAGATGGGTCAAGTGACCAAGTTCTGCCCAATGGAATGTGTGGGCATGTGTGTCACTCCTAGATCTGGCCCCCCAAAACCCAAGTATGCTCCTCTGTGCTCTGTCATCTGCTAGCTTGATGCAGACCTCACAGTGACCTTGAGGGCCATATGATGAATGTGACAGAGCCACAGAATGGAAGGAGCCTGGGTCCCTGAATCACTGCTTGGAGGAGAGAGCCCATTAAGAAGTGCTTGGTGGGGCCCAGGTATTTCTTCACGATGTAGAGCGGAAATTCACCCATTTTGAATTTTACAAGAAAGAGACATAAACTTCTATTGTGTTTGTGCCATACACTTGGGGGTTAGTTTGTTACAATACATGCCCACACTAATTCAGAGTCTGAGGTAGTTCATGAGTCAGGGACCTGGTAGCCCACCTGCTGGTGGACAAGGTGAGGACAGAATAGAAATGGGCCCGGTGACAGGACAGCAGCAAAAATCACCAAAGACTCTGAGGAAAGCTTGTAGATCCTCCTCAGAGGGGAAGGTGCCGATCCCAGGGTGGGCTTCTCAAGGACATTAAATGGGTAAACCTGGAGCGCACATTGGAGTTCAACAGCAGGTGTGAGTGTATGTGTGTGCGTGTGTGTGTTCAGGAGGACCAGGCAGACAGGGTAGAGAGACAGCCAGGGCCTGGAGAGGGAGCAGCATTAAAAGTGGTCATCATGTGAGCAGGCTTGGGGTTCATGCCCCACATACTCCTGGCCTCCAAGGTGTGGGGTCCTGGAGCTGCGCTGTATCTGGAAAGACTGCACCTGGGCCACAGTCCTCACCCTGAGCCTTCAGTGTTTCCATTCAAGACCAACGCTGCAGGTGCCAGCAGAGCCTCCCCAGCTCCCAGGTGAGCTCAGATGTCCAGGCCTGCCAGGCTGTGTGACTGCAGACATTGAGTCTGGAGCATGTTAGGGATGCTTTTCCCACTGTGGTACCAAAAGCATTTTTCTTTTTTCGAGCCTCACAGTCCCCACTGAGAGAGGGCCTCCTCTGCTGTGTGATCTGATAACAGCTCAGACTCAGGAGGCCATGTCTGACCTATGGCTCTCGAATGTTTGACACCCAACCCACTTAAGTGCAGGCAGGGGGAAGGGGGTGGCTGTTCCTTCAGGAAGGGACTTCTGGATTTTCCCACATCCCCAGAGTCTGTATCTCGAATGTTTGACACCCTCTCAGGTGACTGGGGTGACCTGACTTTGGAAAAGCCAGACAGCCTCCTCCTACCCGTGTCTTGAGGTATCCTAAGCATGAGTGTTTTTATCTCTTTAGAAGGTAAAAACTTCTGCTTGTTCGTCTGTGCCTGTGCACGTGTGCATTTGTGCACACATGCACGCACGCGTGTGCGTGTGTGCGTGTGTACGGGGCGCAGTTCCTTCCTCCTCTGTTCTAGGTCTCAGCCTCGTGACCCTCTCGTCTGTATTCCTCCTCAGTCTGTCAGCCCACAAAGAATCACCCACTCTATGCCCCTCTTCTCTCCAGCTACCAGCCTGTTTCTTTACTTCCTTTGATAGCAAAACTCTTCAAAAGAGTTGTCTTTCCTGGCCATTTTCACTTTCTCACTCCTATGAGCAAACGGGAACCTATTTCAACCACGCTTTCAGCCCCAACCCTCATCTGCTACTGTCCAGGTCACCAGCAACCTTCATCCTGCTGGACTCAGGGTCACACCTCAGTCTTCATCTTGCTTTCCTGCTCGGCAGCGCTCGGAAGTTTTTTTTCTTTCCTTTATTTTTAAACTTTTCGTTATGAAAAATGTTCACATACACAAAAATCGGGGCCTAGTGAAGCTCCACGTGCCCTTCACCGAGCATCGATGGTGAGTAACTCGAGGTCTCCTCTGCCCCTCTTATTTTGCTGGAGAGTTTTACAGCAAATCTCAGACTTCCTGATCTTTTACCTGTAAAGTCTTCCATATGAACTTCTGGCTGATCCTTTTTTCACCTCTTAACCCATGCCATCGACACACCTACCAAGATGAACAGTAGCTGCTCGACATCGCCTAAGGCTCAGTTTATATTCAAATTCTCCCGATGTCTCAAAGATGTCTTTCTGCAGCTGGTTTGTTCAACTTGAGAAGCAACCACGGGCCATCCATTGCATCTGGTGGTGTCTCTTGAACCTTTCACTTCCCACCAGCCCCTCTCCCGTTCTCCCCTGCTTTTGATTTGTGGGATAAACCGGCTCGTTTGTCTAATGGCATGTCCGGCATTCTAATTTGGCCCATGTTTCTTTGTGGTGTCTTTGACTTCGCTCCTCTATGCCCCGTGATTACTGTCATGTGTGGTTAGAGCTGGGGGCTCCCTCCTTCCTTTTTGAGTCCCTTTCTTTTGGGACACCAGGCTCTCCTGCTTTTCTTCCTTCCTTGCTGCTACTCCTGATCAGTCTCTGCTCAGTCTCCTCCCAGCCTCTTCCCTCCACTTGCTCCCACAGAGATCTCAGCCAATCCCATGCTTTAACCGCCACCCACATGCTGATGCTCTGAAGTTTACATCGCCACCCTAACTCTCCCCTGCTCCAGGCTCTGGCATCCAGCCACCTGCCCAGCATCCCTGTGAGGCATCTCAAATGTAACATGACCAAAATAGAACTTGCTATTTTCCCCAGACGCCACCCCGCCACCCCCAATTCCAGCATCCTCTGCCTCCAAAAACAGATTTGCCCAGTTGTTCAGGCTGAAGAACTGGGAGTCACCCTTACTTCCTTGCTGTCTCTCAGGCCCCACATCTAACCCATCCTCACACCCTGTTCTGGATTTCTCTCTCTCTCTCCTCATTCACTGACCCGTCCTTGTCCAAGCTGTCATAGTGTCTCTCCTGAATGCATCCAATAGCATGCCAATGGGGGTTCTGCTTCCACCTGTCCCCATAGTGGCCACAGTCATCATTTCAACACTTAAAGGGATCACGTCACTCCTTATTCAGAATCCTCCAGTAGATTCCCATATCACTAGAGTCAACTTGTGTCCCGACCGAAGTCTATGAAGCCCCACTGTCCTCTTAGACCTCGCCTCATTCTGCTTCAGCCACTCTGGCCTCTCCACTGACCCCTGGGCCCTCCAGATCTGCCCGGCCCTGCTTCGTGCAACCTCTACATGCTCACATCTCCTTCCCGCAGAGCTTGTCCTGGATCCTCCCCATTTCCAGTCGCTCCCCATCCCCTTAACCTGCTTTATTTTTTCTTCGAAGCACTTATCCTTACCCGACATCCCCTATATAAATTCGTTTATTGCACTTGTCATCTATTGCAGTCAAAATGGGAAGGCTGATAGAAAAGCCACTTTGGGCTCTCTGGAGGGGAGGGAAGAGGAGATTCTTCAAACCCTTGCTGAAGGTGACAAGGTAGCCAGAAGTGACCGCTGAGGCCCATCATGTGTCCAGACCACACAGTAGTACTTATTGCAAAATAAGATGGTAACAACAGAAGTTGTGCCAGTGCTAGGTATTCATCCCTTATGAAGCAGAAAGCAAATGCTTATTTGGGCCTAACCTTTGATTGCCTATCAGCCATCTGACATTGGTGCCTCTGGAGGCAGAGTGAAGGGAGTTTTCTCAGCCTGTGGACTTGTGACCATTCACAGGCTGCAGGTCACACCCTTCCGGAGGTGAGACACTGTGAGGTGCTGAAACCAGCTTCCCCCATTCCAGAGACACAAGGCCGGGATCGGTTTCCTCACCCACTCAATCATCCCTGAACATTAGTCACTTGGAGAGCTTTTGTAAAACAGGGAGGCCTGGGCTCTGCCCCGGAAAGTTTGGTTTGTCCTGGGATGGGGCCTGGACATTGGGGTTATTGGAAATCTCCCAGGAGACTCATTTGCAGCTAGGATGGAGAACCCCAGCATTGGAGTCTAGAGATGCTGGGTTGCTGGTTGTCAAGGCTAAGGGACAGTCAAGCGTTCAGAAAACAGCCTCTGTTGAGAAAACCTGTAAACCGCCTTCCCCTTAGCCAGGCCCCGCCCCCATGTCTGCTACAGACTGGACTTAGAAACCTGGAGTTTCTAAGCGTGGAGGTTCCTCGGGACAGACCTGAGCTTCCCCCCGGCATGGCAGCTTTGGTAGGGTGGCAGGGATCCAGCCCTGGAGGGGCCTGTAGCCACCTGTCTTGGCTTCCAGGCAGAGCTTCCCGGACCCCAGGCCCCTCGTGCCACTTCCCCAGCCCTGCAGAGCCCAGCATAGCATTCAGTCAGGTGCTTCAGTGCTCTCCTGGGCAGAGTCCATCAAGATGGCATCCCGGGCCTCCCTGGCACAGGCCTCCCTCTTGACCTGTCCCCCAGTCCTGCCCCCAGCCCAGGAACAGCCACCTTCCTGGCCTCCAGTCCTCCTGGCCTGCTGAGCACAGAGAGGACTGACCAACCCTAATCCTCTCAGGACTTCACGATGGAAGGCCCCAGCCCTCCCTCTTCAGTGTCTTTATCTGTCTTTCTGTGCCTGTCTCTGCCTGAGCAAATCCTCTGAATGGTCTGCTGATCCAAGAAGTGGCTCAGGGCCTGTGATTTGGGGGACCCTGGAGCCTGCTGGCCCCTGAGGAGAACCTGAGAGGTAACTGTTGTGGCAGGAGATTGTGAATCCTAGGAAAAGGCCCCTTGTTCCTATAGCAGCCATCAGCCCACTGCTGTTCCCAGCCACAGCCCCTCCCACCCAGCCAGTGTGGTCTTTATACTTCTCAGTCCCCTGAAGAAGCCTTCGTGGACTTCATCTGACTTGACTTGGAAAATAATTGCTCTGAGGGGAGGGTGAAGGGCCCCATACTCAGGCTCATGCCAGGAGGCACTTTGAACCCATGCCCACTGATGGACTATGAGAGACTGAGGAGAGCATCCACTGAGGGGGGGCTGGAGAACAGCCATTGGCTGCCCCTGAGATTGTCCTGTCCTCATGGGCATCAGTGGGAGAATTGCCACCTTTACCCTGTTTTCTCTGTTCCCAGCCACCCCCACCAGCCGAATCTGCTCTGTTTAGTAATAAGCCAGGGCACTTGGCCTCATGTTCGTTACCCCTCCTTTCTGGATGAGATGACCAGCCCAGGGTCATCACGCTGCCTAGAAGGCGGCCAGAATCCTGGTGTCGTAGGCCAGGACACATGGCCCCCAGAGCAGGGCATTTTTCTCCTCCTTGCCGTGGTGCAACAGTAGACATAACCAGCCTTTGCTAGAGAGTGTTTCTTACCCCACTCAGGCCTGACCTGGCAGCCCCACACACCTCCCAGTGCTTAACCTCTTTTTAATCTACCCTCGTACTACTGCTTGAGGCTGTTGCAGACCTGAGCCCTGTCCGTCACTCTTTCTGGAAACCTGTCCCTGAAGTCTTCATCTTGTCAAGTCCGGCTGCTGGTCTGGCCAATGGCCCTCTCTCAGGGCCCAGCACTCACCCCAGAACTTCTGCTCCCCGGGGGTAGGGGGGCTACCCCAATGGATTCCTGGGTAGCTCACATACCAGAAAGTTCTCCCCTATTGCTCAGGGAGATTCCAGGGCATCCATAGCAGAAAGAATGAGGCAGATTCACTTTCCACTTCTCCAGAAGATCAGGCGGTACTTTCAAGGCCTTCTCCTGTGAGGACAGGAGCGACAAAAGGCCTCGGAAGTGACGGGATCCCAGAAGGGGCAGCTCTGGCCTCAGCGGTCAAAGCCACAAAGGTATGGTGCTCCAGCCCAGTGACCTCAGCAAGGTCTGTCCCTTAGCAGGTCTGGCTCCTTCCAGGTGGAGGGAAGGCCCAGCTGGGAGGGTCCAGATGCAGAAGCAAAGGCCAGCAGAGGTTGGGAGGACTGATTATTCAAGGCATGGTCATAGCATCAATAACAAGGAGGTTCGGCATTCTGGTATGTTCCTTTAGTGGTGGTGGCCAAGGGGAGTTCAACCTCCTTGCCAGGTCCCCAGAGGATGCAATGCTGCCGATAGGCACTTGGCTTCCAGAATCGTCTGAGGAAGAGGCAGGCAGGTGTGGAGCTGCTCTAGGCCCAGTGGGGCACGTCTTGAAGGCTCCAGGCAATCCCGGGTCTCCCAACACAGAGGCAGCTCCTTCCAGAATGGATCAAGTCTGAGAGGGGTTGTTTCAGAGGACAGGTGGGCAAGAGGCAGCTGGGAAGTGAGCCAGTGGGGTGGGGTGGAGGCCAGTGGGTGAGGCAGGTGTGGGCTGAGAGCAAGATAGAGGGAAGGTGCCTGTATGTGGAGTGTCAGGAGCCAAAGCACGCCCACATCCCCACACGGTGACCCGGGGTGGGCGGGCGCCTGTGGTGGGGACTTGCCAGTTGCCCTCGGTCTCTAGGAAAAGTAGAGAAGTGAGTGGACTCTGGAAGTTTCCCAACATTCGCACCGCCTTCTCTCAGAACCAAATGCACTTGACCCAAATTCAGAGGGGAAAGCCCTCAGCCATGCTGCCACGTCATCCACTGGGACCCTTTCTATATGCAGCTTCCACTGGCTGCTGGTTAGACAGGAGGAGGAAGGGAGAGACAGTGGCAGAAGCAACAGGGGCTGCAGAGACTAGAGGTAGGTACCAGCAGTAGTCCCCAGGGAAGAAGAGCCCACAGGCCAGCTTCTGGCAGGATTCCCCCTCTTCCCACACTCTTGGGAGCTGGGCAAGGCCTGGAGCTCCCCGCTGAGGCCCTGACCACCCTGTTCTGAAAAAGACCTACCCCCTTGTTGGCTGGTGAAATGCTGAGGCGAGGGGGTCCTGTGGGGCCTGGGTTTATGAGGGACTGTCGGGGTATAAATTCCTCCTTATTCCTCGCTGGAAAAGGAGAAGGAGAGACTGCCTCCTCCCTAGCAGACTCAAACTCTCTAGAAAGAGTCCGCATGACAAAATCTGGGCCAAGGCCTGGGGTATGGCAATGTTTGCCTCTCAAGTGCTATTTCTCCTATGGTGTGAAGCTTTGAACTTCTGGAGCTGGGATGTGGGCAAGGATGGAGGGAGGGTCGAGGCCCAGGTGATCTGAGTTCACGGGCACACATGTGCCTGGGGCCAGGTGAACACTCCCAGGTGCGGTGAGCCCGAGGCCCGTCTTCAGCAGGTTGGCTGCGGGACGCCGACCTTTGCAGGAAGGAGCTCGGGAGAACTCTGAAGCGTGCAGACTCCATTAGACTTGGCTCGCTCTGGCCCACTGAGGCCCCAGCTGGCCCTTCTCCATGTCTTCCCCTGCTGGGCTGCCTGCTGGTCCTGATGGGGCCCTGTCCCCAGAGACAGAGGCCTATACCCCCTGCCTGGGGCAAAAGTGCTGGGTGTCCCCGGCATTGTTCCTGCTCAGGATTTGACTCCTCCAGGCTTCAGATGGTGGCAGCGGTGGGAGGGTAGCCTAACTCAGACAGAAGGGGCTTCTCTGTCACATTGTTCATGTGACCACAATGACACAGCTCCCACCCTCACCCATGGCAGGGCTTCCACAATGTCTGAGCCCAAACCACCCTGGAGGCCACTTGACTGATCTTCAGTGCCGAGTACAAGGTAGCCCCAAGAGGAGAGGGCCCCTCCCCTCTTAGAGGCCAGAGAATGGCCACTGCCTTCAGTTTGAAGCATGGGCTTCTTACCCTAAGCTGCTGCCCGCCTTGGCCACGCTGGGGGCCCAGGCACTCAGGTGGATATGAGGCAGGAGCAGCCATTCCTGGGCCTTAGGGGTCCTCTCCTTAGGCCCTGGGGCTTGGGGAGGTATATCTGATTTCCCATCACCCAGCGTTTTACGAGAAGACCCCCTCCATGAGTTCTGACTCTGTCCCTTCCACCTTACAGTAACCAGCCAAGGTTTGCCATCATCAAAATGCTCACAGGTCCTGTTTAATGAGCCCCGAGTGACCATGTCCCAGCTACCCTTACAGGAATAGAAAGGAGAAGGGTCTCTGCTGCTCCTGGGGACATCTGTCAAGGGGCAGAGGAACAGGAAGAACCTCAGTCTCCTCCTCTCAGGTCTCGGGTCTCAGCTGACCCCTTGCTCTGGTGGGTGCAGAAACTTTCTCTTTGCAGATCCCTATGCAGGGCCCCCTGGATAAGATGGTCATCTGCGTCTGGTCGCTGAGGCTCAGCACTTACACCTTCTCAGACCACAGGGGAGGGGTGGGCCGGGAGCTGGGCCAGGGGGTTTGTAGGAGCAGCAGCAGAAGCTCCTTGGCTGGGCAGCTGGTGGAAAGGTGGCGAAGACCCTGGAGCATCTTCGGTGGGCTTCCTTCTGCCTCTTCCCTTACGCACGCTTTCTCTGTCTCGACCCTGGGAAAGCCCCCAGCTTTCAGTCTCTGTGTGCAGGGCTTCAGCCACCTCTCCCATCCCGTCCTGGGCTCCCTCTGCACTGCCTAGTTCCTCCCCTTCTAGCTGGTCAGCGGTCCGGGGCCTCCATGGCCAAGGCGGCAGATGTCTCTGCTGGGCCTTTCCAAAGTCTGCAGGAAGCAGTGGGGAGGTCCAGGCCCCACTCTTGCCTCCCCATGCTGGGCGCTCCCCTGGCTGCCACTCCTGGCTGGAGTCGCCAGGTGGAGGCCTTGGGTCCTGGTCAGTGGTACTGGCTCTGGCCCTCCAGTTCCAGGCCTTCCTGGAACTGGGCTGAGTCCAGCTCCCTTGCAAAGCCCCTCACACTACTCTCCTCTTCTCCCTCTTCTGGCTCTCTGTTCATGGTGCCGTAGGTGTGCCGGGCGGGGGAAGAGGCTGGGGTCAGGTTCATCTCCGGCTCTTGCAACACGGTAGCCACGTATAGCTGCTCAGGACAGAGAGGGGAGATCGGGGTGAGGTCACATCTGGGGCAAGGCCCTGGGCAGACCCTTCCTTCCCCCTTACGACCTACCCCCAGAGCCTCTGCCCCTCCAAGCTACAATCCTTCCTCTTCACCAGCAGCCTGAGTCCTGGTCATCCCACCCACCAAGTTGCTCTGGGTCATTTAATGAGCAGCTGCCAACTCCCAGGGCTAGTTAGTACAGGTCTGACTCCTGGTCCACTGTTTCTTCAGCACATGTGCTATTCATTCTGGGCTCCAGGTCAAGCTGAACCCAGGGGAATGTGACATTAGGCAGCCCTGTGCTGGGGTCTGGAGACACACACCCCCCATCCCTGAGCTGGTGCACTTTCTAACACAGCTTCAGAGGTGCATCCTCAGCTCCTTTGGGCTGTGTCATTGGTTAGCCTGTGAATCAGGATTTGAAATGGAGACTGCTGCCTGAGGTCTTGGTCATGTGACCTGTCAAATCCAGGAATGGTCCCAGGAATGTCTGGGAGGGTAGGAGAACAGAGAAACACAGGAAGTACTGGGGATGGAGCTGTTTGTCATCCTTCGAAGTAGGATAATAGGTAATTCTGGGGTAGAATTAAAGCTTTCCTGTAGGAATTCATTTCAGTGAAACCAAACAGCCCTGGTTGATGAGGAAACAATTTTCCTACAGCAGAATCTAGACATTTGCATAATGCCAAAGTAAACCCCATAGAGGACCTTTTGGTCGTAAGTGGAAAAATTGTAACTGAACAGTGGAAGAAACCAGCTGTCAATCAGGGAGTCACTTTAGCCTCATTAATGGGAGTAAACAGGATATTACGTATCTCTTGATGTGATGCACGGCACTAACTGTAGAGTGGTCTAGCACTTAGTGTTGAACTTGAATCTATCAAGCCTTTGGATCTAACTTTTAGTTTTTAGGAAATACAGGAGAGAGTGGAATCTGCTGTAAGGAGTCATGAAGAAACAGTCTGAAAAACCCAGAAGGCGGGGCATTATGCAGGATTACTGGCTGGGTCTCTCCAAGAAGTCATCAAGAAGAAACGGTGCTAGAATTTAAGGGCGCCAGACTGATGTAGCACAGAGTCCTCATTGGATCTTGCTTTGGACAAGCTATAAAAGGTATTTCTGGAACACTTAGGACAATTCAAATATGGACTGGGTATTCAAAGAAGTAAAAATTTATATATACAGAAGATGTAGATTGTTAACGAAAATGCAGGTTATTAAACAATATACAATATTAATTCATTTTAGCAAAAATTATTCATATATCTGGGAGAATTACACTGGGGTATCAGTGGTCATCTTTGGGTGTAGACTTTTAATTTTCTTATTTTTGCTTATCTGTTTTCCCCCATCATATCTACAATGTTAATATACTACTGTTGTAATAAGGAAAGATTAAAAAATCAATTCCAGTAATTTTTTTTAAGCTTAGGCTTTGGAGTCAGACAGACCTGGTTCAAACTTTGTTCTGCCATTTCCCTGCTAAGTAGCACCGGGGGTTCTAAATTAATTGACTGTTTTGAGCCTCAGTTTCCTCCTCTGTAAGATGAGGCTAAAAACCCCTACTATGTGGGTTTACCATAAAGAGCAAGAGCATGAATGGTGAAGCATCAGGCTCTTAAGAAGATTTCAATAGTCAATCACCAACGATATTCCAGAGAGGTCATCTTAGAAGGGCCCCAGGGGAGATGCTATGTGAAGAGAGACTTTCCTGCTTTGAAACCTCTTAGTCTTTCCAGTGCTGAAGCTCCTTCCTCCCTGCCACCTCCCAGAAACAATTTGTTTCCCTGTGTAGGGTTTTTTTCAGTGTGAGGCAGACCTGTAGTTCTGTGTACTAGGGGTGGCCATATCCAGCACTGTCATGTCTCTGCGCTTGAACCTAACAGTGCCTGCCCTCCACCGGGCCCTGCCCCCAACTCTGCCATTTCCATCAGGCTGTCTTCGAGTCCTCAAATGCTCCAGGTTGTCTCTTCTGGGCCTGTGCACAGGCTGATCCTCTTCCTTGAATGCTCTTCCCCTACACCCTAGTCCATTAGGCAATCCCTATTCCCATTCCTGGAGTTGGATGAGATGTTCCCTCCTCTGAGATGCCTTCCCTGAGTGCCCTCTTCAGTGCTCCTCCGAGGCATCTGGGCTTTGGGGCATGGGCCGACCTGGTACCCAGCTCAGTGCATACATTGGTGGCCCTGCATCCATACTTGTGGCTGGGATGCTGGCCAGTGCTCATGCCCCTCCAGGCTGAGACATGGTGTGGGAGCCAATGCCAGCCTCCTGAGCCCCTGCTCTGAGTCTGGCCTCATCTCTTCAAACGCCGATGGGCTCACTTATCTGGCGCCACCCCGGCCTTACCATTCAATGCAGACCTCCAATAGCTTCCTGCAGCTCTGTCTGTGCCGCTCTGCCTGGCACCTGAGCCCTTGGAGGCAGCGTTCGGTCCTGAGGCCGAGCCCCAGCATGTCCCTGCGTTTACACGACTGAGCTGGCTGTGGCTGAGTTCTCCCTGACCTCTCTCTTCCTCTCTGAGTTCCTTTTAGAGAATGTCGAGAAAACCTTGGATCTTCTCTCTTCCCAGCTCTTCAGCCAGGACCATGGCAGCAATGTGACCTGGGCCAAGTCCTGCTGCATCAGTGGAGGGAGCCCGAGGGGGCCCCATCTCCTCCCTGATACCCAGGGTAGGCACGACATTCTGGTGCCTCCACAAAGCCGCTGGAGGAGCCCACCCCTGTAGGCACCCCCTCCTGACCTGTCCCCCAGGGCGAAGGCACTGACTCACAAGGGAGGTGGGTGTGGAGGAGGTGCTGCTTGGCTCCATGTCGAACACGGTCTCCATTTCCTCCTCGGGCTGCAGCAGTGGGGAGAAACGTAGAGGTCACAGAATTGGGGTGTCTGTCCTTTGACCCCTCACTCCCCACATCCAGAGGAGCCTGGACCCTACGCCTGGGCCTCTTGCTCCCCTGGATCTTCTGGTTGTCCAGACCTGCAGCCCAGCTGGCTGGGCTGAAGCCCGGGGTGGCGGGGGGGGAAGGGCAGAGAGAGGACTGGGATGCTAGGAAGACCCTTCTGGAATGTCCCATTCTCAAGGACCATAGTGGGGGGAAGTAAGCACAGTTGGGATTGGGGTTCAAAGATAATCCTGCTTTGAGTCTAGGAAATGCCTTGACTTCAACTCCCTTTACTTTTCTCCTGGGATTTCCCCTCTCTATCTGGAATGAGTCCTAAACTACCATGATCTAAGTCCCCTGCCACCTTCCTTCTCCAGAGTGGACACTTGGGTGACCACATCACATGGCATCGTTGTACTGGGAAGACACAGCCAGAGGCGTCAGTCACTCTGCTCTTTTATTAGCATGGCACTTGGGCCAGGGGGGCCTGTGCCCAGGGACCCAGATATGGTGGAGTCACTAGAAGCAAGAGGATTCTCTTTCAAGAGGCTCCCTCCTCTGACTCATCTGGATGCCAGTACTTTAAATCAATTTACTTTCTTTTCCTTATATAAATTCATTTAAAAAGGAAACAGTTCACTATTATAAACAGAAAACCTGTGTCAGTTGCCATAAGCAGGAAAATAAATAAATATGAACCAACAGAAAAATGTAACCATGGAAAATAAAAATGTTTCGGTCCACTGGAAGTCATTCCAGTACTCGTGCACGGACACCTCACTTTGGGAAATGCTGACCTCGCGTGCGCAGAGCCATTGGCATGGCTCTCAGTGGGCGTGATTGGCTCCCCTCTCTAATGATAGGCTGGGCCCCACTGGCAAAGAGCAGAAGGAGTCATGGGCTCAGGGGCCAGGATCTCCTTCAGACAGCCTCAAGGTCAAAATCCTAAGACTCTGAAAAGTGAGAAGATGACTATCCTCCCTTCCCCAGGTCATCATCTTTTACCACCTCTACCCTCCTCCTTCACTCCACCTCTCTCTCAACCCTCCATCCCTTGGAATGGTGCTCACAGCTCAGTGGCTGGACAGGCTCCTGCTGTTGGAGGAGATGTCAGAGGCAGGAAGAGGAAAGGACAGCTGTCTTCTAAATATCCCTACCCTGTGAGGCGGCCAGTACCAGGGCCAATGCAAGGTACACACACACACACACACACACACACACACACACACACACACACACACACATTGATATTGCACTCCCCATAATCAGAGAAGAAGGCAAGAACCTTTCATCTCTGTGGTGCTATGGGTGCCCAGGTGAGGAGGGCTGTGTCCCCCAGGGCTGGGGAGAACCAGTGGAAGAAAGGCAGGCTGGCAACTCACCTCGTAGTCAGGTGCCCTCTGGATCTTCCCCAGAAAAGTGCCCAGGAAGGCAATTACCATGGAAATGATGAGGGTGGTAAGGGAAAAGATGGTAATGCTGTGGAGATAACCTGCCAAGGAGAAGAAAGTGGGCTTGGGGCTCCAGCACTGGAGCCGTGGGCAGGAGGCTGCTGACTGAGATGTCCCCTGGACTGACAGATTCTAGGGTCCATCTCAGAACTTCTGTAGAGGCCTCAAGCCTGTAGCAGAGAGGGTCTTGTCCAATTCCCTTCCTAACAACTAGGATCGATGAGTCTGATGCAATGACATCGTCCCTTGGTGCTACTTGATTAGTTTAGAATTTGGCATTTTGTGAGCTCCATGAAAAAAAATTTAATTAACTTCGGTATCCACTTAAGTGGCCATTAAACGTGTCCTTCTCCACCCATCTGCCACATCTCAGTCCCTGGGAAGAGTCTGTGCGTTACTGATTTGTGCCACTGCCCCCAACCACAATCTCTGATCCACACCTTTTCTTGGCACTGAAAAGCAATACAGAATTTAAGTCATTTATGTTTTGCTTACTGATATTTGGTAACTTTTTTTTAGGGTAGCAGTTTTCTAGGTAAATATTAAAAATCGGTCTTTACAGTCAGAGGTTATTGGACAACGATGTTTATCATCATGTTTTTATAATAGCAAAAAATGGTAAACAACATTGATATCCAACAACGGAGAACTAAATAAAACTGATCGAGTTTAATGCAGCCATTAAAAGGCATGTGTTCATACATTATTTTAATAACACAGGAGACTGCTCAGAACATAATGTTCAATGAAGAAGCTCAAGATACAGACTGAATGGTATAAAATGAATATCACAATTTTGAAAAGTAGCAATAAACCAATAAATTCCCTCCCACGCTCCCCCAAAACGTGCACAGAATGATGCGTGGGAGCAACCGACATCAGGCTCTGGGTGAGGTTAAGGGTCATTCAAATACTGATTTTTCTAATTTTTCTGTTTTTGTGACTAAAACTGTAGTCCCTTATATGTAGAAAGAAGCATTATAAAAAATGAAATTGGCTAGGTGGCAGGGAAAGGCTAGGGGGATAAGAAATTGGGAGGTGACAACAAAGAGAAAATGTAGACGAGGGACTGAGAGCTGAGTGTTTACAGATGTCATGGTGACGGGAAGAGTAAGAAAATATGAACTTCCCCTTCTCCCTGCCACTGAGAAGGTTAAGGTCAAGTGTCCCTGAGGGAAGGCCAGTGTGGAGGTGGAGAAAGGAAACAATATGGTGGGGGGCGGAAGGAAGATGGGAGGTCAGTGTGAGCTTCTGGTCTCAGAGGGGATTTCCAGTCTCTGGCCTGTGGGACAGGGACAGCAGCTACGTGTAGCCAAGAGTAAGGAAAAATCTGGCGCTGGGGCAGACTTTGAATCCAACTCCCAGTTTTTGGCAGCTCCTAAGACCAGGTACCTTCTAGGATCCCAGAGAGAATGTCATGGGAGTTGAGCCTGAGAACTAACGTCTTATTTCCTGCACAGCCTTGAGTTAGAATGAAGGAATATGATGTTTCTTGCCCTGAGGGTTGTAAACCAAAATGCATACAATTCCTATAGGCTGGCCAAGCCCTCCCCTTACCTTCAAAGGTCTGCCTGGCCTCCAACACGAGCCCCCGAGGCCTAAAGAAGCCACTGGGTTTGGACACACTCAATGAGCAGCACCTTGCTCCTTCCAGCCTTTTCTGCTCCTACAGGGCTGTTGGGGGGAGGTTATGGAGTAGCGGGGGCAGGCAGAGGTGGGATGGCTGGGTGGGCCTGGGACCTACCTAATCGTAGGATGGAGAAGAAGAGCATCCAGAACAGACCCAGCAGCGGCGCGAACATGGCCTGGTTGACGGCGGCCATGTGGATCTGCTCGTTGAGTTTCGTGGGTGCGAAGGAGTAGTACATGTTGTAGCGGTCTGTGATGTGCTTCATGCACAGGTACAGCAGCCCTGGGGACCGGGAGATGGAGACACACTCAGTAGCTGCTCCCCAGTTGGGGCCTGTGCTGTCCCAAGGTCCCCACAGGACTGAAAAGTCAGATTCAGGGTCTGTTAGAACAGCAAGGGCCAAGGACAGAATGTGGGAGCCTTGTGGGGCTGACCTCCAGGACCAGCATCTTCCCTTGAACTCCAGAACCTATTCTGCCAGTTTGGTGAAGAGTCCTTCACTCATGCATTCACTCAAAAAACATCCTATGTAAACAGTCATGCAACCTCAGCTCCCTGCCCTGATACCTCCCACCCTGCTGACACGCTATCCCAGGTTTCCACTTGCTCTAGGAGGTGGCGGGATGTTGTGGGGCTCAACTCTCCCTCCCAGTCTGAGAGTGTGCAGCCCTGGTTGTGCCTTAGGGATGACTCACCAAAAGGAACAATGACAGGGCAGGTGATACTGTACGCCACCACCACAGTGAAGATATTCAACATCCATGCGTACTCTCGCCCATACTGGAAATCAATGGTCTGGTCCTGGGGTAGAAGGCAGCAGTCAACCTAAGGTGGCCTGGTCCCCTTGGCTCGACTGCTTCCATGGCTCCTTATCCGTCATCTGGGACCTGGTTGGCAGCTCAGGCCTGGAGGCAGCCTGCCTTCCAACGCTGGAGTCCAAGAAACACCCACCCACCTCACCATGCCTCCCGTGCTTGGTGCTCCCAGCAGGCCCCCTTCCTGACACGCTCTAAAGGGAAGCTCTGAGGGCTGTGCTTAGGGAAGAACCTGGCCCTCACCTTTCTGATGTGGACTCTCTCTGGCTCCGACCTGGAGAAAAAGAGGCGGGTACTGTACAGGAAGAGTGACCCCAGGCGCAACAGCTCCATGCCTGTGCCAAGCAAAGCTGCTGTGATCACGTAGTTGACGAAGAAGGCGCCATTGTCTGGCAGGAACACACACCTGGGCATCAGGAGAGTGGAAGACGGCAGTAGAAGACAGGAGGAGAGGGAAAGGGCAGAGGTGTTGGGAGGGAGGAAGAGAAAGAGAGAAGAAAGGAGCCAAGGAATGGGAATGGGGGGTGGAGGTAGAGATGGGGAAAATAAGTTTCATAATATGTGCTCCCAGAGCATTTTAAGTTAACAAGGACCCTTTAGAGCAGGGATGGGGTTAGTCTACATAAAATGTGGATGTGTTAGGTCCTGTTAGGAGATACATGTGCTGGCTTGATCTAAAGCAGGTTGTTTGACCTAGACCCATAGACCCTGGAGAGTCCATGAATAGAATTTGGGAGGTCTGTGACCTTGAATGGAGAAAAAATTATATCTTTATTTCCACTAACCTCTAACTGCAATTTAGCATTTCCTTCCATTAAGAATATGGGCAACAAACCACAACAATGTCAGCCACGGCTGTGGGTCTGTCACCCACTGAAATCAGATATTTTCACGTCATGCTGTAGTCAGGGCTGACATCTTACAACATCATTTGTGCCCATCACTACGTCAAAATTTATCAGACACGCTGCTAAATTACACATGATTGAAAATTTCTTCTCTGCAGACATGTATTTGATGTGCTTGGCCAACTCCAACTAGGAGTCATTTAGTCACCTAATGGCCAGGCTGCCTCTTCTCACATTGGTGACCCAGGCATCTCTTGATTTCTAATGTCCCCACCTAAATAAATGATTCTGTAAAGTTCCTTGAAAAGAGAAATCTGTGAGCCTTGGACATATTTCAGAACTCCTTCAAAAGCTATTCTTTTTTGATGGCATCGGAGTTGAGTCGTAGATTCACGACACTTTTCTTTCTCATGTATAAACTGTATTCAGGATAACGAAGAGCCAAAGATGAACTCATTCATTTTGGGAACAACATACAACTTATTACAATTATAGTTTGCAGAAACTACAGATAACGGAGAATTCTGGTCCTTGCTCTGTTGAGCAACCTATGAAAGCTTGTGGGTCATTTGCAACATTACATTTTTGAAAATTGAGATTTTCAACATTTATAACTCTAAAAACAAAAAAATAAGAATTGGCAGGATGTCCAGTATGACCTACATGTTGCCTCGTCAAAGATCCTCCCCACTCCAATATGATATTCTTCTTTCAGTTAAGTAACATCAGCTTTCACACTGATGCCTTTAAGACAATAAAATGCAACTTCAGCTTGCCTATAGCTAAAATGCATTGTCCTGTTATTAAATGTGCTACAAATAGTGTCACAAATTCAATTCTTAAAATATTTGATAACTATATTCTGTATATTTGGTATTTTTTTATAATTCAAGTATTTTGTACATTTAAAGGCATCTACTCAGGGTATATGTAAAATTGGTGAAAACCGAATAAGTTCTGTGGATTGTTTCAATGTCAGTTTCCTGGTTACGATATGGTACTATAGTTATGCAAGATGTTATCATTAGGGGAAACTGGATGAAGAGTACACAGGACACGTTTTGGGGGCCATTTCCTGTAAATCTACCATTATTTCAAAAGCTTTAGAGAAGGGGCTCCTGGGCTTTACCAGATTGGCAGAGGTCCATGGCACAGGAAAGGTTAAGAGGCTGCCTAACGGGAGTGTTGGCATGCATTCATCTCTACTTGTGTGAGCAAATAAAGGACATACATATCCACTTGGTGTGAACCCGCAGCGGCCCCAGTGTACACAGGGAATACACCTGGAGCATGTACTCGAGTACTCACTGGAACCTGATGGATGCTTGGTCCAGATAGTACATGTCAAAGAGCCAGCGGAAAAAGACATCCAAACTAGAAGCAAGAACAAGGCAGGCCCTTTAGTTAATCAATCTATGAGCTGAGGCCTGGGGTTCAATTCTTCTTGGACTGGCTTCCCTCTTTCCATCTTCCCTTGCCCAATTCTCAAAGACTCTTGCATCCTAATAGTCCAGCTGGCCAGTCCACACTGCCTCTCTTCCTTCTTAATGCTGGGCCACCCCTACTCCTAACAGGTTGGCCTTTCAGCTCAAGACCACCTCCTTTAGCAAAATTTCGCCAGCCTTTTCTTCTCACATGCTCTCTCCCTCTTTCGAATTTCTATTGTATGTTGGCTGGGTTTTCCTCAGTGTGGGCTGTCAGTTGGCTGGTAGGCATGGCTTGTCTCCCCAGTTTAATGATAAGCTCTTTGAGGGCAGAGTTCATGGCTGACACCTTAGAGTTCACATGATACCGGGGACGTGCTAGGCTCATGACAGATGATGGATTGTTATTTGAAGACTGGATTTGCAGCAACCACAGGTAGGCCTACAGAGGAGGTTCCAACTCTAGGCTGAGCCTGGCTGAGAGAGGAATGATAGAGGAGAGGTACCTGGTCAGTCCCATGGAGGGCAGAATGACCACCATGAACACCAGAAAGATGTAGCACTTGTGCATTATAATCAGATTCTGACTTGATCTAGAAGGAAACAAAGAGAGTCATCAGCGAGTGAGAGGTGATAAGAACCAAAGGCCTAACTACAGAATGAAGAGAAAGAGAGAAACAGCTACCTGGCCTAGAAAATTGGTTTAATAGTGCATAGCAATGCCATCTTCACAGAGCACTGTGGGGCAGGCTGTGACTGGGAGCCACAGGAAGGAATGGCATGATCAACTAGTGATGTCTGCCCTGAGCACTGGAAGGGGAGGTATATGTGCCATACACTTGACATCTGTTAAAGGGACATTACCAATGATACTCAGAATCCCTTTAGAGTTTCAATAATCGACATAAGCCTTGTTCTTGGCCAGTTAGGACAAACCTCCTGGCTTACTGCCTAGTAGGATGATAGGAACTTTGGGTGCAGGAAATAACTTTTGAGACCCACATAGCTTTCAGGCCAAAGCAGGTCCATCTGCCCCAAGATACAATAAATATTTTCAATCCAATTAGCCGCCATAGAACTACCTGGGCTAACAAATGGGAAATAGCTCCTGACTGTTTAAAATGTGGGCACTGTGCGGGCTACGTGGGTCGACAGTCAGATTGAGTGCATGGGCTCCTCTGCTACGACCCTAGCAGCCTTCCCCACATTCTCCATATAAGTCCTGCTTTCTCTCCCTCATCCTGTGCCCTCTGACTGTATCTCTGCCCACAGCTCCATCCCCTCAGCGCACGGCTGGAGGCTGAGGGAGCAGTGCAAGGATGCCTGGTTTCGGCCCCATATCCCTTATATGGTGGCTCTATCTCAGCATTCGTGAAGCCAGAGGCCCAGAGACAATCCAGTACCCTCTTTTGGGATGGTTTTGGGTATCAAATCCCATTCCTTAGGCCAGGTGGGAGGGTCCCCCAGCACCAGGCTGGTGGGTAAGTGGTGAGGAGGGAAAGGGAAAGGGCTGGGGACAAGAACAGGCCTAGGAGAGGAAGCCCCAGCTCACCTGGTCCAGTGGGCCTCGAGGAAAGTAGAGTGGTAGACGATCAGAGGCAAAATCACTGTGAAGGCCCAGAGCATCAGGGAGGGGAAGAACTGGGTCACGATGGGGCTCTGTGGGGGCGGAGCAGCGGAGGCAGACAGCCGTCAATGCGAGAAGGCCCTGCCCCTTCTAGGCCACCCCTGCCTTCTCCCTCATGCCTGGCCTCTTCGCCTCCAGCGCAGTCCCAGAGCAGGCCTGGTTCCCCTGAGGCCGCATGGTGGGCCTGGCCTTTTTCACCTGCCTTCTTGTCCAGGGGTCTGCCTGGCTGGAGGCAGGCAAAGGCCGACATCCTAAGGTCAAGTGATATCCCCAAGGGGCACAGACTTTCTATGCTGAGGTCACTGGAGTGGTACTCTTAGTGACTTCACTTTAAGGCCAGAGCCAGCTGCTGTCATTCACGTCCCACACCTCGGGGAGATGCCACTGCCTTTAATGTGAGAAGTGGTGAAAAGTATGTGAAAAAAGAATCTCTAGGGAGAGCTGTGGTGCTCCTGCCTGAAACCTATTGTGAACATGACAAAGGAAGGCACAAGTGAGCAGCAGGTGTGTGTGGGTGTGTGTGCATGTGTGTGTGCATGCACATACGTGTGCTTATTACTAAAATAAGAACGGGGATAATATGAAATGAGAGGTCTTCTAGGCCCATGATAATAGCCTGGAGGCTATAGAATTTAGAACAGGACAGTTCAGTTCCTCTGAACCCCTCTAGCAGCGTGAAGCATCCTCTGACTTAAGGAATGGCTCCTGTAGGGCCCCGAACTCCCATCCTGGAGAGCATGTATCAGGAAGCGAGGGACGTGGACAGACTGCTTCTCTCAGAGGGCTGTATTGGAATTTACCTCCCTCTTTCCTACCCTCAAATTGATCCCCAAACCCAGGAACCCTGGCTCCAAAGAATGTGGGTAGAACAGAGCTGTCACACTTGCCACAACCTCTACTGCACATTTTGTATCACTAGCAGGCCTGGGTGGCCTGACCTAAAGAAGCCCTCTGAGCCCACACGTGATGGGACCACCCAGCCCCCACACTCATCCCAGGACCTGCCCGCAGCTCCCCCACTGTCCCTTCCTTTGTTCTTCTCCAGTCCCAGTCCCTAAGACGGGCAGCAACCTGCATTCGCCCCCCTGAGAACGAAGAAAACTCCACGCACACCACCATTTACACCAAAACACCATTTACACCACCGCCACCTCCACCACGTCCATGGTGCATGGGCCCTAAAGCTGTGTCCCCGTGGACCCCCCACTCCATCCTCGCCTGATTTCTTCCTTCACCTCCCTGGGGCCCCCACGCCTGGCCTGAGCAGAGGCGGCACCTGCAGCTTCTCGAGGGGACGGGTGACGTTGTACATGTCGATGGTGTTGATGATAATGGCAGGCGTGGTGAGGAAGAAGAAGAGGAAGAAGAGGAAGGTGTTGATTGCGATAAAGCGGGCCCACCAACGGAAGCGGCGGATGGACAGGTGTTTCCTGGGGAGGGATGGAGGAAGGAGATGCACTTAGGACCCCGGGTCCTGGCCCTTAGACAGAGCCCACAGCACTGTTTCCTGCATGCCAGCTGTGGACCCAGGCTGCCTGGTCTAATTTAGACCCCTGGGCCCAGATCTGCATGCACCTGGCCATGGACTTTCCCCTCAATTACAACATTCAGAACCAAAAGTTCTGAATAGATCCCATAGGTGAGCCGGAAAATAGATCTGAGTTCTTTCTGCAGGAAATTCCTCTTTCCCAAGTGTTAGTGCCATCCAGGCTTGTGGTGGCGTGGGCTTGGGAGTGGGCAGAGGCTGTGATGCTCAGGAGAAGACAAGGCCCAGCCCAGTGGGAGGAGAGGCCCCAATTCCTTTCCCCATCCTGTTGACTTCCTCAGTCTCAGAGGGGCTCCAAGGAGAGGATATGGACAGAGGGAGCTTACCAAATAATGTCTTTGGGGTGTGGGGCAAGGGTGACCCTCCAGCGGTAGGACTTGATGATCGTGGTCACCGAGGACTGATGTGGGGACACACCACACTGGATGTACTTGTAATCTTCCAGGATGCTGTAGAGATGGGGGAAGAAGACAGAAGTCTGGGGATGATGGGCTTGTGGGGGGAGGGGGGTGTCTCATGCCAGGGTCCCACAGCTGGGGACTTATTCACTTCCTGGGGATTCTTGAGGCCTTGGCTATGTCTCTCAGGGCCTTAGAGGCAGGCAGTTCCCAAGGCCTAGTTGCTAGAGGAAAGGAACTTTAGAAGGAGGGATGCAGGGAGGGATGCCCAAGAAGGGAGGGGACCACATGATTCTCAGGTTATGTCTTGGCCCCTTGACAGCAGTGACAGCACAAAGACATGCTCTTTCTCTGAGGGTGACATGGGAGGTACTAATTTCAGCCTCGTCTTAATACCAATGTTTACCAATTATTGAGTTCTTTCTGTGTGCCTGACTCTGTGCTAGTTGGTGATTAATATAATCCCAATTGCACAGATTACCAAATTGAGGTGCCTGCAGACACAACCGAAGAGGGTCAGGGGCTGGTACTGGAGCCCCATCTTTGGTTTTCTCATTCACGCTTTTGCTGTAATTAAACCTGACTCTCTCTGCTGAGTGCCAGTGCATTGTTTTATATAACATACACACTAAATCGAACAAATATACTTTCTTAACTCTCTGAGAGGTGGACAGAGAAGATATAAGCAACCGAATTTGACAGGTATGAAATTTGAGAGTGTAAGTGACTTGCAAAGCCGCACATGATTATTCGGAACTAAATTTTAGGCTGTCCCACTGTTACTTTGTAGAATTGGGTTGGGCAAGAAAAAGGCGTTGTGCATTATCAAGCTCCCCCTCAGGGAGAGCATGCCCCCTCCCCCAATCCTCGAGAGACTGATTCCAGGGCTCTCATCTACTTGACCCAGTTCTAAGGATCTAAGGATCCTTCCAGAACATTGCAGAGTGAATCTGATCCACCTCCTATCAAGGTGGGGCTGCCAGAGGCTGGGGCACAGGAGAGACGAGGCTGAAAGGATATGAATGACGGAGAAGAGAAACGGCAAGCTGAGCTTCTCTACCCTGAGTCTGTCACTTGCGGTGAGGAGATGGGCAATGTGCAATGAGGGGAAAAAATGGATACCATTCTTGTCCCAGAAGAGGAAACAAGTATTCAAAGGCTGCTCCGACGGCCTTCATGCGGAAGCAAGGACTTATGGGAGCAAAGAGTTCAGGGCCTGGGTGTCTCTGGGGACAAACGGAGCAAGGCAGCTGGGGGAAAATGGGTGTGGCCATGCTGTGGCAAGCAAGATGGTGGCTGCCTATGAGGAGCATGGCATGGTGGAGGGAGGTCAGGATATTGCAGACTGGAGGGAAGCTCTTTCCTCCTTATCTTGGCTGAAATGGGGGCGAAGGAGGATGGTTTCAGAGGAGCAGAGGCCCACTCTTGGGGCTGGGCTGGGGATGGTGCAGCAAGCTGCTAGCTCTGGCACTCACCGCTTTGTCATCCTGGCATCCTGGAAGGTGACAAAGATTAGGTCTAGACGCTTCAGCCGGACACGGTTGAACTCGGCATTGAACTCATCAGTCAGCTGCTCCTCCAGCTCACTATAATATTGCTCTGCGTCTACCTGGGGCGAGATGTGGCCTTCAGAGCTGGAGAGGCCAGAGCTCCAGGAAGGCCTCGCCTAGGCATGAGGCCTCTCTCCACTCAGTAGCCCAGAGGGTAGTGGGCCCAAGGCCTCAGTTCCATCCCCAGCCCCATCTGAAGCCTGGCCAAGAGTTCAGGACCCCAAGTGGGCTCCAAGATCCCAACTCTGAAACGGGAAGAAACTATGACTCTAAAATTAGCTCCCTGCTCTTTGATCTGGGGAAAGTGAGGCACGGCTCGGGGTAAGGAGATGCTTTAGGACTTAGGGTGGACTCCAGAGGAATAAAAGAGCGTGTTTGCAGCATCTTTCAGGAAAGGGGGTGATTCTTTTTCTGAACTGGCTAGAGTTCAGTGCTGCCCTGAGGCAGGTGTTCGAGTCTTGAGGTCACCTTCTCGCCACAGTAGGTGGGTGATGAGGTGGATCCCACTGCCATCACATGTTCTTGTCCTATTGCTTTGAAAGCCTGAGGCCTGGCAGGCTATAGCCATCTATTGTATCCTCTCTAGTCCTCCCATCTAAGACCAGAAGTGGGCCAGAGAAAGCCTCCCTGGATTGCTCTGAAGGTGGCCCCAAAAGGCTTCATCTTCTCTACATTCTCAACAAAGAGGCAGGATGGGTGGGAAGGAAGGGAAGAAGGTGCTGCAGCATTGGAGCAAACTGTACGGGGCCTGGGGCCTGCGGATGTGGACGAGAGGCACTGCCCGAGCCCTGGACCGAATGTGGAGACCCAGCACCCCAGGCCCTCCTCTGCTGCATCCCCAGACACCTTTGCCACTTACTTCTTTGAAGCACGTCCAGCATTTGCAGAAGCACAGGCGGGAGCAGGGGTGGGTCTTGATCATCACCTTCCCATACTTCTTGGCTTTGGCCGCATAGTAGAGCCGGCCCCGCATTGCATGGCGCCTGTCAGGCGGTAGCGGGGGCGGGGAGGTGGTAATCATGGGAGGGTGGGGAGGGATCTTGAGGTCAGGGGCCAGCAGAGTCACATCCGGCCCCCCACCCCACCCCAGATCCAGACAGGCCCCGCTGCAGCCTCACCTCTGATCGTCCAGGTCAATCAGGGTCCTGACATCATAGCAGAAGTGGACTTTGGTCACTACACACCTTGGATAGGCCTCACTGCAGCCACAAACATGGATGCTGAGCCAGCTGTGGGGCTAGGAATGTGCACCCCACCCTGTGCCCAGAGCCACAGCCCACAGGGCTGGTGGCTCAGCTGCCTGTGGTTCCTGGTTCTTGGGTGGAGAATCCAGCTCTTGCTCCTAAAGCCAAACTTCAGGGTTGATCCCTGGTAATCTGAGATATGCCACATCCTTCCCACAGGACCCAGAATAGGGCCAAGGGGCAGAACTGAAAATTGCCGCTCATGGAGAGATAATTAGCTCCTGGGGCTGGGAACTTGGGTCACAAAAGATGTCTCAGGATGACCTGCTCTGGATGGCTGTGAACCAGGAGCTCTCTGGGCTCGTAGTCAGTGCAATGAAGGAAAGGGAAATCAGCTCCCAACCCCCTGACACCCATGCCATTCAGAGAATCCCTGACTTCAGAAGCCCTGCTCTGGCTCCAGGGCTCCCCAATTCTGAAAGGCTGATCCTTGGCCCAGTCGAGGGCAAGCCACCACCTTAGGGTGTCTCTCACCCCACCCCCCATGTGAGTAGTAGTGCTGACCTACTACCCACATGAGGATCCAGGTGGGGTTACCAGGACAAGGCAACCCATGCTCAACCCACCCAACCCACTTACTGAAAATGCTTAATGATGATTTCTGGGTCTTGGATGTCTTTGGGGACATAGGTGATCATCAGTGTCCTTGTGACCTGGATAGGGAGGATAAATGGAGAAGGAAGAGTGTGCTCACATGGGACTCCTGGGTCTTCGGGTGGCCCCGAACATCTAAAACAGGCCTTCCACTTGTCACACCTGGCAGGCTTAAGTATTGGGTAAAGCCTTGCAGGGGTATGTGGGGTGGGGTAAAGTCAACCAAGTCCACTAGGATGGATGGCTTCAAAGGAGCTGATCCCACCCACTCCACTGAACCTTTGAAAGGCTGAGGACAGGAGCCAGGGACGATCCCCTCTGCCATTTCCCCACCTCACTAGAGCTCACACATCCCTTCCCTGTGGTGCCTACCCATGACCCCTGCGTGCTCATCGCCACACCCCAAAGGTGCCTGTGCACTCCAAACACCAGAGCTCTGCCTGAGTCTCTTTCCTGGCCTCGGGGGCACGGCCAGCCCACATGCAGACCAAGGAGTAAAGAGTTAAAGCCCCCAAATGCAATCCTCAGCCAGTGATGCACACCGGAAATTGGTGAGAAAATGCCTCCGACTGTTCCCCATTAGGCTGGGAAACTCTAGGGTAGACACTCTACTCCGATTCTCAGAGCTCCCCGTGGGATTAAGCACCGGCTTTCACAGTAGTGAGCTGCCCCTTGTCGCTCCCTTTTATCAGAGGTCTTCTCTTCCAGTCCCTCTGTCCCCCAACCCCTGACCCCATGGTCCTTCCTGGGATCACCTCCCAGATAAACAAATGCTACTCAAATCCTTATCTTAAGGTCTGCTTGGGAGATGGGGTAGGGGTAACCCAAACCAAGACTGAGTGGGGAGACATGGGGCAGGACATGGGGTTTCTGACCTCAGAAAGATTCTGGGAGGGCAAGGAGCTTGGGCATATGCACTGGGCGCAAGGCTAATGAAAATGTTTGCAGGGAGCACTGACCGCTTAGGATGCTGGACTCTGCTGGTCCAGGGGTTTCTTTACTCTTAAGTTTTTAGATGGTGGGGAGGTCCAGGGGTCCTTGGAGAGGGGACAGGGCAGCAAGGGTGCAGAGGTAGAAGGCACCTAGGACAGTCGTTTACCAACCAGTTTGGAAATGGTTTAACAACTGAGACAGCTGTGCAGGGGTGTCAGGTGATGATTCACAGGTTAAGGAGAGGAAGCTTTTCTGTTCAGGTGAGACTACTCCCCACAGGTGTACAGAATGTGCCCAGCTAGGAAGCCTCTGAGTCTGGGAGTGGGAAGGTCCAGCATGGGGGTGGGGGCGGCTCTAGCTGAGAGAGAACAGTTCTGGTATCTCTTTTCACTTACTCACCTTGGAGGACTCCTTGGGCACAAAACCTAAGCAGTGATGAGCCATGAAGATGAGGTTGGTGAGGAAGTAGAAGAAGGAGAAGAGGCCATGCAGCCACAGGACCTTACTCCTGCCAGGAGTAAGACGAGGAGGGTGAGACACCCTCTCCCACCCACGCAGTGGCCCTCAGACCACCCTTGGGTGCTTCCAGACACTCAGGCACGCTGGAAGGGATGGCAGTGGTGAAACAGCGGTGTCCTGCTCCAGCTAATTAAGGCGAACATTTATTGAGTGCTCACTATACGCCAGAGCCAGGGTGGGACTAGATAATTTATATCAGGGGTCCCCACCTGGCAGGCTGCAGACCGGAACTGGTCCATAGCCTGTTAGGAACTGGGCCGCACAGTAGGAGGTGAGTGGCAGGTGAGCTCCCAGTGCTAGCAAAACCACCTCAGCTTCACCTCAGATCACCAGGCATTAGATTCTCATAGGAGCACCAGTCCCTGGTACCAAAAAGGTTGGGGACCGCTGCTATATACACATTTTCTCACTAGACTCTCACACCATGTTGAGTATGGTACTGTTACGATCTTCATTCTACCCCTAGAGAAATGAGGGTCAGAGTGGTAGGTGACCCGCCTGAGGTCCCTCCTAGTAGTGGCAACCCTGTGGGGTGAGCTCAGAGCCGCAGAAGCCCTTAGCTTCTTCACCACTATGTCACGCTGTCAGCAGCTGCGGCTCAGACTCCCATGGCTGCCCAGTAAACCGAGCTGAGGGGCCGCCCTACCTCTTTGATGGGAGACTCTAGGGTCCTACAAGGGCCCCAAGGAAGGAGGACCCAGCACGTTTGCTATACCTCCCCTGGGGTAGGAAGAGGGGTGGCATTTGTGCTTGGGGCTCACGTGATGCTGTCCCAAGGCACTTGGACAGGATGACTGTTCAGAAATAGGGCCTACCGTCCTTGGTGTGGATCAGGGAAAGAAAGGCTGCCTCATCACTTGTCTGCACCGCTTGTCCCAGTGCCTGACAGTTCCTCTAACATTCCCCATCTAACTGGACACCTGCATCCTCAGTTTCCTCAGACAGGGCAAGGTTACATGGTCTCTAAGGAACATTCTAGCTCTCTGCCAGTCTGGATTTATGGATGTTGAAGGCTCTTTGCTGCCTGATTAAAATTTACTTCCTGTTGAGAAGATGTAGGTGCCTCATGCCAGTGGCAGCCTGGGGAGAAGCTGGTAAGCTCTGTTCTGGTGTCAGCAGCACCGCAGGAGGAGCTGGCTGAAAGGGAAAGTCAGAGGAGGCCACAGCTCCATTCTGCTGATTTTGGAGTTTGATGGATTGCAGGGGTACAAGGACAGAGGGGGAGGGGGAGGGGAGGTGGGAGCAAGAGTGTGTGAACCCCCACTCAAACCTGCTGGAACTGCTGCTTCTGCTTTGTCAGGAAGTTGGCCGAGCCTGGGCACGATATCTAGTGGTCTATTTTCTCAGTATGGACCAGCAGGGTTTCATCTGGCTTGGTACAAATTGATTTGGCCAACGATTGGGTTGGCTAGTGTTAAAATCCATGCTTCCTGGATCATGAGGGCTGGAAGGAGCTTAGAGATCATGTCCGACAGCCCTTCCCCCACCACAGACTAGGCATGAAGCTCAGAGGGCACGGGTGAACTGTCCCAGACCCAGGGCCAGCTAATGCCAGAAGTGGGCATGAACCCAGGGCATGTGGTTCCTCCATCCCTCCACTGTGGGAATCGGGTCTATGCTTCACTTAATTATATGAGGGTTGACCTGAATGTACTTTGTGGGCAGGGAAGCAATGCCTTTTACCTCTACTCTCTAGAGTCTTCGCCTGTTGGGAACTGAGCATACTAAGCAAATAGGACCAAATTTCCAAGTCTTCAGGAGTGGCTAGTTTGGGTAGTTCTACCAAGTACAGAGATACCCATATGGGGAACACTGAGTCACCAAGGGCCCTGCCAGAAGCATCCCACTTAGGACCTGGGTTCCCGAGGAAACCAGGCCACTCTTAATGGCAAAATGGTGCCCAGAGTATGAACCCATAGGTTGGACCTTCTGTCCCCACCAACGCCCCCAGCCCATAGAATGGGAGGTAAGAGGATCAGGTACCTACTCTGTGGAGACATTGACAATGGTGGTCCGACCAAAGTGACTATTCCGGTCTGAAAGAGAAGAAAGTTGCTGACCTCAAGCCTGGCTCCTTGATTGCTGTGGGGTGCCAGAATTCAAGGCTCTTGAATGAGTACCCGGGGTCTAGAGATGCTTGCCTACGACCTGCTCTTCCTTCTGGTTCCCCAGAACTTGCCCCAACTTCCAACACAAACAGCAGAGGCCTCTTCTTCTCCCTGGGTCTCCTGATTGGGGCTCCTCAGCCTTGAAGCAAGACTGAGTCTTGGTGTGACATCCCTAATGAGTAACTGACACTAATTGGCATCCGGAAAATGCTTGGTGAAGCAACCCTTGGCCCTGCCGGAGCGGAATGATGAAATTAGCAACCTGTTACCACTGGCAACAATCACAAGAACCCAAATCTCCAGGAAATGTGGTACTCCCTCATTTGGACAGAGCAAACTTTCTGGCTAAGTGTGTTACTTTGTTGATGTAGACACCTCCTCCAGGTTTTGTGAAACATATCTAGAAACCCCACATTATATTGTCATTGCCAACACACTAGCTTAGGATGAGAATCTGGAAAGATGGGGTCAGAAGTTTGCTCTGGCGGTGGCGTTTGGTGGCATGGACACTGTGTGCTACATTGAGTTAACTGAGGTCTACCCTCTGGCCGAGGAGAAACAAGTAGAAACCTGAGCAATCAGAGTAAAGCTGGCTGCCACCTGCGCATTTAAGATGCTATTCTACACCACCTAGTTGCACAGCTTCATACAATTCTGTCCATCTTCCTATTTCTAAGTGAAATACTGACTGCTATTCTCTGAGCACCTACTACATCAGACACCATGCCAGTCACTCGACACATTATCTCCCAATCCCCATGACAGTCGAGAAAACTGAGGCCTAGGGAGATTTCTTTACCGAATATAAGACTAAATAATTTTCTAGATTGGGTAAAGGTATCTTCTGGGAAGTAGATGTGGGTAAAAGCTGGGGAACCAAGATTTTTCTGTCTTTGAAGTCCAAACCCTCACTCGTGATGTTATTTGGTCAAAAGGATTTACCCTGTTATAACAAGTGTGGGAAGACGTCTTATGAGACAAATCCTGTGCTTAGGGTCTGTGTCCATCAGAGTGGGTGTGGGGAGATATCACATTCAGGGATCTTTGCAGTGGGTCACTATGAGAAAAAGGCCTCCAAGAACACTTGGCCAGATGTGACGTGGGGTTGTGGCTAAACGTTCAGTTCTAGACTGAATTACTACTAGGTGTCTCCTAGGTGCCAGTCCCTAGGTCAAACTTGCAATGAAGCGGGTATCATCTCCAGTCTCCACATGAGAGATTTGAAGCACAGGTTGCTAAGGTCACATAACTAATTTCAATAAGTGGAATTAAAAATGTTGATTTCTAGACTCCCAAGACCCAAGCTCTGTCCCGCCTACAAGGCTGCCTCTCGGGTCTAGTGGCCCAGCCCCAGTGCCTGCTGAGCTCCACCTACCCAGCACGGTCCCAGTGTAGTTGATGGGCAGAATGATGCCCAAGGAGGGGATGCAGAGGATGAGCACGAAGATGATGAGATGATACTGGAACATGATGTAGATGCGGGCATCGTTTCCACACTTGTTGATCAGATCTTCGTTCCTGGAAGAGACACACAGACAGGACATTCCTCAGCTTAAGGAGCCAGTGTGGCAGTGGCTTAGGCTGGGGGTGAGGTGGATAGGTAGAAGAAAGGGAGGGAAAATTACCACCCTAACCCCAAGTTTTTATTTTATTGTTTTAAGTAGATGCATTCTACTTTAAAAAGTTATTTATTTATTTTAATTCTTTAAATTAAAAAGGAATACTTAAAACCATAATGATATACCATTTCACATTGCCAGGCTGATCAAAGTTAGAAAGTCAGACAATACCAAGTGTTGGGAAGGGTATGGGGCACTGGGAGCTTCTTACACTCATGGGTACATACTTTGTCACAGCCACTTTGAATAACTGAATATGTTCCCACCCTATGACCTATAATTCCACTCCTGGGTTTATATGCAACAGAAATACATGCACATGTGCATCAAGACACATCTATAGGACTCGCATAAGTACATTATTTTTGATAGTCCCAAACTGAAAACAACCTAAATGTCTATCAAAGGTGAAACTGACATAAGAATTGTGAGATATATATGTAGTAATCTATCACCTATCCATCATCTACCTAGCTATCTATCATTTATCATCATAGCTATGTATATATAGATATATCAGATTATGTAGCTATAAAATGAAATAATATACAGAGATAAAAATGAATGACTATAGCTGAACCTCACAAATACAATGTTAAGTGAAAGAGGCAATGCACAAACAAAACATGCCAAATGATTTCATATACAAAGCACAAAAATACTCCATGTTGAGCTACAGAGTTAGAAGTCAGGGTGCTGGTTACCTTTGGAGAAGGGGAGGCGACAGGGGGTCGTGAGGGAGCAGGAGAGGGCTTCTGGGATGTTGGCAGTGTCCTAATTCTTGATCAGGATGGTGATTGCATAGGCTTTGCTCTGTGATAATTGAGCTGGACATTTATTTTTTGTGCACTTTCCTGTGTAGTTATACTTCAATAAAAATATTTAAAAGCAACACACACAGGCTTATTAGAGAAACTTTGGAAACTACAAAAGAGAAGAAAATCATTCACCTACAATCTCATCCAACTAAGATAATGACTATTAAGCAATTTGATTAATTACCTTTAGTTTCTTGTTGTGTTGGTTTAACTTAATGACTAGTATAAACAGCATTTGATGTGTTGCTCTTTTGCTTAGCATTTAATCTTAAGCCTTTTCCATGTTTTACATGTTTGTCTAAATATTTTCATGGCTGTACAATAATACTGGTGACAGTGGCCTCTGTTTATGGAGCACTGACTCACATCCAGCCCCATGCTGGCCGCCCCACTCCGCTGGTGGATGTGCCATAGTTTAGTCACCCTTGCCCTCTGGTCAGGCTTGTAGGTTATATGCAACTTCTAGCATCCAGTCCAGGGTTCAGATTTATTTTTAAACAATACTGCAGAGGAGAATATCTTCAAGGTTTTCAATATCCCCCTTTAGGGAATTATTTAGAGTTCTAAGTTTTGTATTTTCTCTCTCTCTCTCTCTCTCTCTCTCTCTCTTTACTTACTTATTTTTGAGTTCTCAATTTTTTAAACTGCAAGTAGTTAAAATACTTCCTGCCCTGGGCTTGAAAATTCAATCCTAAGGATGAGAACTGGTGAGAAGCCTGCATCTTAGAGAGGGAGAACAGGGAAGTGTCCTGCTGCAGGATTGGGGTGCCACCATCTGGTCACCTGATGGGAATAGTGTGCCTGAGGTGAGGTGAGGTCCCAGAGAGGCTCCCTTCATGTGGAAGGAGCAGAGGGCTGGATGGGACCAGGACAGCAAGAATTTCCTTCCTGGGCTGTCAATTCTTCCTTCCCCCACTGGGCCCTTTGCTCCATCTTTACTGGAATCACAGGTTATACTCAGCAGCCTATCTTATAGTTCTGAGAGAAGCCTCTATTTTTGAGTCTGTCTATATTCCTCTACTCAATTCTTTCCCGTTTCTACCACTCTTTAAAGTGCCACCAACATGATGTCCCAGCAATCATCCTTTCTCTTACTCGCAATTAATTCTCATCTGCGCTCTAATCCTTTCCTCTTCTCTACCTCTTTCTGGAGACTTACTATATCCATCATCCTTCTCTCTCATCTTTAAATTAATATCCACCTCTCTACACCGACCCACACTTCTTCCCTTTAAACTACAATCGGTTTCAAGTGCCCATTTGTCACTCTCAAATAAAACAAGGAAGTCCTCAAGCATCCACTCCCTGACCTTTTGCCCCTCAAGTTCCAACCAATATCTTTACTTCCTTCCTTCTACCCACCTCTTGAGAAAGGTGACCTTCCTTCTCTGCCTCTACTTCTTGGCTATCTCCTTACCCGGGAACTGCCCGCCCAGTGGAGACCCAAATAGTCGAAGTCAATGTCCTCTTCTCAGTTCTCATTCCACTCAACCCCCTAGCACTGAAGGCTGCTGGCCTCACCCTCTCTGATGCCTCCAAGGCACATGCCCTGCAGGTTGCCACTTCTTTCTCCTGCCCCAACTATACTCTCCCTTGGGCCTCTTTTGATCTTGTCTCTTTGGGTGACCCATCTGCTCCCATGACTTCAACTACAACCTCTGTGTACCCATCTCCCAAGTCTAAATCTCTAGCTCTGACATTTCTCCTAAACTTAAATTTTGTTTTCTCAACAGTTTGCTGGTCAACTCACATGCTCGTCCTCGCCATATCTTATAATTTTCTCAACTCATCATATCTCATCATTTTCCAGCTTGTGGCATTACTATTCTCCTCAGAAACCAGATCTCGATTTCTCCCTTTTTCTTAACCAAATGGAAGCTACACCCATTTACCACAGACCCATGACCGCCCACCCCTGTGCCACGTCCCCACAGTTTTCCTGGTCACCACCTCCCATCACCAGAACACTGGAGAAGCCCCCTTAGCTGCTCAACTTGCCTTTGGACTTGCCCATCTGCCATTCATCACCCACCCCCATGCTCCTCCCCACATACAGACAACACCCTGAGTTTCCTGCTCAACATTAGTAATTGGCTCTCTACTGCCTCTAGCTCAAAGCCTGAGGTTCTCAGTACGGCAGTCAAGATCCCAGCTGATCCTTTCAGCCCGATCTTTGAGCTCCTCTCTTGCCATACACCCTTGCTTCTAGCTACACCAGAAGATTTATCATTTCTGCACTCTCCCTGTCCATCTCTGCCCCAAACCTCTGCTCACACAGTCCTTTATTTCTGATAGGCCCTCCAAATCACAGCAGTCAAAATTCTCCCCGTCCTTCAAGGCCTAGTCTAAAACTATGCTTCTTTTGAACCTCCTAGTCGAAATTAATTTCTCACTCAGGTACCCTTTGCACAGCAATTTTAACCTCTCCATTACGAATTATACGTAGTCTTGTTAATCTTTGCTTCTCCAACTAGACTGCATGGCTTTTGTGCGCTGGGGCTCTGGTTCCTTGTCTCTGCTCAGTAAATGTATCAAGCAGCCTTCTAGACAGTGCGGGATACATAATGCGACACTCACCCTTCCTCCCTTCCTGGAAGATGTGTTCCTGATGGGAGGGAACTTAGGGTAGGGTGGGGGTGGAAGAGGGTTCTCACACAGACACACACACAGCTGTGCGCACTGACCACCCACTGACTTGCAGGTCCAGGTATACACACGCAAACAGCTGCACACACAAATTTACACCAATGTAGTGACCTGAATCTTTTATGTCACATCCACATGCACAGTGCAGAGACACCTACCATATGAAGTTTTGTGTTTTGCACGTATGCTACTCCCTCCTAACCTTCCTCCCCTGTCCTGTGTATACCCATTGCTATGTCAGCAGACAGCAGAGAAAATCTGGAAAGTCAGTCTCAAACTATCCTAAAGCGTTCCTTTTCTCCCAGACCTGAGGATGTGGTCAGCTCCAGCAGGCCCATTCACCCGTTTTCCTCCTTTTTTCCCATGCAAAGGGCTGGCTAATTTGCCATCACACCCTTTCCTGTCATCCATAAATTTGCTAAACCCAGGAAACTAGAGCCAGCCTGAACAGCCAGCCTCCCAGGGTGACAAGCAAATGTTCATATGCAATATTGGTTATTTGTAAAATGCAAATATAGTAAACGCTTGTCGAAAAGAAAAGAAAATTTCCTTGAAACTATTGACAGCAATTGCCTCTGTGGAGGGAGTTCGTGAAGAGGTGCATGAGAGACTGGAGGTGGATTTTTATGTTTCTCTTAATTAAACGCATTTGTTTGAGCTTGTGCATGTTTCAAAAATTAACAAAGCAAAACTAGAGAAGGTGCCAAGAAACAAAAGTCTCTGTCCTGCCTACATGTGGCTAAGTTTCCTGAACCACACACAAACTAGCCGTATCACTTCCTGAGGACTCTGATGAATGACGAAGAAAGACTAGAGGCCAAGGCTATGGAGAGTCCCCCATTGGTGAGGCTGGGGCTCAAACACAAGAGGGCACTAATCTTAAGCTCGGTTTCGGATTTCCAAGGCCTAGTCAAGGTGCCCCATGCCTTCACAGGATTCCAGGCCCTTTGTTGGGTCTGAAGAAAGAGACGTTTCCTGGTGTGGTGTGGGTGGGGTGGGGTCTTGGTACAATGTGTGAATGCTCTCAGCAATACTCTTGAACGGTGGGCATGGAGGCATAGGAGAAAGAAGTCTTATGAGCCTTTGCAAAGAAGCAGATTAGTAGGCCCAGCCAGGGCCTCTGGGGCAAGTGGCCTCTGAGGGGCAACGAGGCTGCACCCTAAGGCAGGCATCACCAGGCAAGAAAGGGCCGTGGAGAAGGGTTTTGAAGGATGGGCAGTGCAAGACAAATGGGGGATATTTAGGGAGAGCTCAGGAACATACAGGGCTCTGAGGTGGAAACAGGGCTGTGTGCACACATGCATGTGTGTATACTTGGCTGAGTGTGTACATATGCGTGCATGCATGCATGCGTGTGTATGTGTGCACATGTGTACACACACATAGTGGGGCATAGAGCTCTGCTAACTATCTGCTCAGCTGAAGCATTTGGCTGGTATGAGGGAGTCAGGACAAAACAGGTGACTTGAGGACTATCTCTGTGCCAAATGGGGTCTGACACTAAAGAGATCCAGAAGGTGAGGTGGGCAAGGGGCTGCTCCTGTGTAATCAGGCACTGAGGGTGAGAGAGGAAGCCTGTCCTTCTGCCCAGCAGTGCTGTTATTTTTCCATTTTGACAAATATGATGAATGATGTTCACGGAAATAAAGCAATTAATAGTACGCAGGATTTCTTTTTTCTGGTGTGGAGCATGTAAAAGCATTTTTATAAGCATATGAAAGTAGTCCTTTCCTGAGGGTTCTGGCAGAGATAAAATGGACTGTGGTCTATTTCTAGTTCCCATGTCATCAACTATAAGCTCAGAAAGCATCCTCTGCCTGGGCCTGGCTGAGGTCATCAGTGGGAAGTGGGGAGATGGGTACAGAATTCAGGCCCAGGGCAGGAGACTCCGCCCCACCCCCTCCACCTAATAAGGCAAAGCTTCTGTCACAAGCTCAGAAAGCTCAGGCACTTACTTCATGGTGATGGTGTTGAAGAACCAGGAATAGAAGCCCTGGGGAAAAAAGGAGAGAAAGCATGAGAAAATCCAGGCCTGGACCTGCCCCACCCGGGTCTGGGAATCTGGGCAGAGGCAAAGTGAGGCAGCCTGAGGCAGTGTCCATTGGGAGTCTTCTTCCCAGGCAAGAGACATCAAGAAAGAGGCTGAGCCCTGGAAGGAAGCTGGCTAGGTCCGGAATCAGTGGTGACTGCTGAGAGAGATGTTGCCCCGGAAGTGAGTTGACACTCCTCCCACTGGAGTCCTGTTGTAGGAAATGGGGGCTTGGGCTAGAAGGAGTAAAGGGACGCTTTCGGGGGTAGACATCATTTGCTTTCTGCCTGTTCCTCATTGCTTCCTTCGGGGAGATGTCCTTCCCCCCTGCATGTGGTCAGTTGGGCTATCCATCAAAAGGCCACGGCCACCAGTGGTCACGTGACCAATAGGAGCATGAGCCAAGTAGGACCAATCAAAATTCTCTAAAAGGGATTGACACGGGTGTTGGGAGAGAGGTCCTCTCTCCCTCTGAGTTCCTGTACCTTGGTAAACACCAATGGCTTGGTGCCATCTTTGGCGCCACATGCAGGGTCTTGTCTGAGAAAAAAAGCCAGCTCAGAAGAGAAGACCAGAGAGAGAATCCCAGTGGCAACACTAGACTTCCTGGATCTAGCCGTACCTGAAGCAGTTGCTTCTCTTGAATTTCTCCACACTCAAGCCTCATGTTACCCTTTTGTAACACTACTTTGAGTTTTTTTTTTTTTCCTTACATCTGAGGGTCTTGTCAATGATGCCCTTCTCTCAGGGTCTTGCTGTCTAGAGTTTCTGGGTGGTGGGGAAATGTGGCCTTGGCCTTGGGAAGTCAGCTTGGGAAGAGTGTACATGAGGGTGGGCTAAGGCTCATGCTCTGAAAGCTGCCAGATCTGGTAGCTGGTTACGTTGCCCTGGTGCATGCTTCCTTCTGGGATCCCAGGTTTAACAAGACCTTGGTCGCAGTTCTTGACTGGCCCCCACAAGCCCGTCAGTGAACCGGACAGGCCCCTGGAACCACACAGGTTGGAGAAGGGGTATTTCCCAAAAGGAAGCGATGAGGGGCAGGCAAACAAGAAATGGAGGGAGAGGGCAGTTTCTTGCTCCCTTCTGTATAAGGCCACTTTCTAAGTTCCCCTCCTTGTGTTGGGTTGATGGACAGTGGGAATGTCCACTTAAGGAGTGTTTACCTCAGGGGGACCATTTTCCCAGCTACGTCCTTGGGAACTAAAATAAGGACAGATATCCAGGTATGAGTTAGGGCAATGATGGGGAATAGGACGACGGTGGCAGCAGTGACTGGGAAAGTCCTCAGGGAGGGGATGAATAGCTAGAGAAGAGTGTGACTGAGTCTCGCCACTCCTTGCATGGAGAGTCTTCCCGCACAGCCCTCCTCTGGGCAGACAGGGCTGTGATTTACTCAGGGAGCAAGTAAGTCTGTTGATGGCCCCTCGTGGTTATGGACAGGGGAGGATACACCTTCCCCAGAATCACTTCCACCTCTTTCAAGACAGGTGCACAGGTGTATACCACACAGTGTATGTTCATGTCCTGGAATTCACATAGGACAGGACCATCGTGAAAGGGCAGAAGTGGCGAGTAGAAGTGTGATCTATGTACCCACAAAAATCATAAAGACAGAGATGTGTAAGTGAGCATGTGTGAACCCATCTCTCTGTCTCTCTCTCTCTCTTTCTTACAAACACACACACACACACACACACACACGCACGCACGCACGCATGCATGCATGTACATTGTAGCTCCGAAAGACATAAACCATTCAGAAAATTTACCAGATGCACAGTAGGTCTAAGATGCAGATACCAGTTCCCTTCTTCTCCCCACCCCTATAGAAAATGGCCACAAGTTCCCAGGGGCCAGCTCAGCTGACAAGACCAAGTGACGGTGGTCAGTTCACTGGACCTATCTTCGTGGCCTCATCCTCCCCATTCCACCGCATGGGGCACTGACAGCTGCTGTGACTGGCCCTAAGCACTCTGGTGAGACCCGTTTGCTTCCCATACCAGTCGGCCTGGCTTGGACCCATTATCCAAGTGCCCTGGAGCACTTCGGGGCCTGCCTCACTGTGTTCTCTCTCCTTGTCTAATTTCCACTCTCTTCAGTTTGACGGCCTCTCACCTGCCAAAATGATTTCTTAGACAGTTTTTAAATAAAATTATTTTTTTGTCATTGTATGAAAATTGAAAAGTCAACCAAAGCGATGTTTCTAAAAATAAACCCGAGGGCCACCTTGCAAGGGAGGTATGACTGTCCTTGTTCTATAAAAGAAGAACCTGTCTGAGGTTCCCCACTCTGATGGGGGCAGATCTTGGCAAGTAGAAGGACCTGGTCTCCCGGATGGACAGCAATGGAAGGAATATGGTTCTGCTCACTCACTGGATCCAACAATCCTGTGTCAGATTCTAATTACACGACCGGCTAGCCTGGGTACTGGGACAGCAGTGAAGACGCCTGGTCAGTACCTGCTTTCGCCAGGGGAAGGAGACACACTAGACCGACTGTGCAGATATATCATTACAGACCGTGTTAAGAGCATTGAAGAAAAAGGATGCATTTTCCATGAGCATATTATAAAAGATCTGGACCCGGAAGGGGTGAATAGGGCTCCCTGGGGAAGTGGAGCTTTTGCGGGAATCTGAACAAAGCGTGTGCGTGTTAGCGTAAAGAGGGGCCAGTGGGGAAGCGGGAGAGGGAGGAGAAGGGGAAAGGCCCTGCAGAGGGAAGGAGGATCTAAAAGATGGCTAATGGGCCGGGGGTGGAGAGTTCAGAGGAGAAAAATAGACTCACAGGTGAGCAAGAGGCCAAACCATGAGACCAAGTCATTTGAAATTTATTCCAAGGACATTAGGGAGCCATTGAATGGGTTATCCACATTCAGAGATTGCTCTGGATGAGGTAGGGGGCAAGCGTGGACCTACAGAGATCAGCTAGAGGCTACTGCAGTCATCCAAGTGAGGCCTGAACTGGGGGATGGTGGGAAAGGTAGGGAGAAACAAAACTGAAAAGGTAAAAGTCACCCAACTTAACCATGAACTGGCCGTGCCCAGGAGAGTGGGCAAGAACAAGGGAGGCCCAGCTGGCGGATGGCGGGAAGAGTCTGAGACCAGGGACCTAGGGACAGGTGGAGGCGGAAGGAGATCATGGCATGTTTTGGACATGTTAAATCTGAAATGCCTTTACAATATACATGTGGAGATTATTTGAAGGTCTTGGATAAATGGGACTGGAGTCCAGAGGAAGGTTTAACTAGAGACAGAAATTTAGGAGGAATCCGTGTAGAGGTGGCAATTGAAGTCGTGATTGTGGATGACATGGCCAGGGAGAGAGAGTGGAGAGAGAGAGGGGGCGGGTCTGGGATCAGCTGTGGGAAACTCCAGGTGTGGAATAGGGGCCTGCAAAGGGCACAGGGGAGGAACAGACAGTGACGTAGAAGGGACACCCAGAGGGCGTGATGTCAAAAGCAGCAACTGGAAGAGCCTGGTCAAGATGGAAAGAAGTTCTAGCAATGTCTCCAACCTTTCCGGTACCAGAGACCGGTGCTCCTATGAGACTCTAACGCCTGATGGTCTCCGGTGGAGCTGAGGCGGTGATGCTCGCGCTGGGGAGCGGCTGCAAAGACAGGTGAAGCTTTGCTCGCTCTCCTGCCACTTGCTTCCTGCTGTGCGGCCCGGTTCCTAACGTGCCCCAGACAGGTATCAGTCTAAGGCCTGGGGGTTGGGGACCCCTGGTCTACAGGGTCAGCCCTTTCTGAGAGATCAGACGAGACCTGAGGAAAGTCCACTGAGATTCATGGCATGGAACTGCTGATGACCTTGGGGGCTGTCTGAAGATATTCACCATATGTGAAATGATGGGGGTGAACGCCATATTTGCGGGGGTTGAGGAGCGGGAGGTGTGAAAATGGAGACAGTGAGCCCAGATGCCCTTTCAAGAGATTAGCTGTAACAGGGCAGAGGGACACGGGCAGCTGTGGGAAGGGTGGTAGGCAAGGGACGTCTCACGCCTCCCTCCCTCTCTGCATTCAGGTCCCCACTCATACGTCATCTTCTGCCCAAGGCCATCCCGACCACCGTCTGTAATACTTCAGCTCCGCTCAGTTGCTTTGAGTGCCTTCCTTGTCCCCTATTTCCTTCACGCACTTATCACTGTCCTACATGCACCTGTCTGGGTGTCTCTCACCCAGGAAGAAAGTGTCATGAAGGAGGACTTGGTTTGTTTTATTCACTGCCCAGTGCCCAGCCTCCAGACCAGTGACTAGCACACAGTAAGTGCTCCAAGCAGCTGGCTGAATGAACAAACAAGCCCAGGTGGAGGAATGGCATTCAAGGGGAAAAGGGGGAGAAGACTGGGCTCCAAGGAGTAGATTGGGTGGCAGGAGGTTGGGGGGTCCCTGCCTGAGAAGGGGAAGGTGAGTGCTTGGCTCAGTGTGAGCCTGGGGGCAGTGAGAGGGTTGGAGATTTGAGGAAGAGACAAATTAGCTTTTAAAATCCCTTTGGAATATTAGAATTAGTTAACACATCCTTGGCACCCTAGGAGGTAGGTATGGTTAATATCTCCATATATCCGATGGGGAATTGAGGCCTGGCAAGGCTGAGGAATTTGTGTAGTCACATTGCTAGAAGTGGTTGTGTCTGGCTGACTGTAAAGCCTCTGATTATGAGCATGCTCCTTCCTGCACACACCAGAGCTGCCTGCCCAGAGCCAGGACCCTCACCGCCACCCCGCCCTGGCCCAGACCTGCCCCAGCACTCACCTTATCCTTGTGTTCCATCTCCAGAGAAACATCCGAGGGAGACGTCTTCTCACTCTGCTCCCCATAGATCAGGGAGGTCAGGCTGCCAGGCAGGAAAAGCAGCAGGGAGGCGGAAAAGGAGAGAAAAGCCTTCAGGTGCCTGCCTTGCCCTCTCTCCTGCTGCCTGGGCCAAGGGCTGCCGTGGCCTCTTGCCCAGCAGCAGAGACACCTCAGTTCATTTGCTGAACACACAGCTCTGGTTCAGGACAGTAATCACCCCTGTTGCCAGGTGCCCAACGCATCTTGGGAGTCACGAGATCCAGCAAGTCTGAGGTCTGAGAAAACAGTGGCCTCGTGCCCAGAGATGGCTGCCCTCCAAGTCACCTTTGTGTGAGGAGGGTCAGAGCAGGTGCAGGGATGGGCGATGACGCGCGCGATACCTGCCGTAGCTTGGGCACTGATCAGAGCAGTGTCCTGGGTGCAGCACATCCCCCAAAGAGCAAACAGCTCTCGTCCTGACCCCCAGCCTCTCCTCACCTGTCATTGTGGATCAGCAGAGCCAGGCGCCCATAGTCCCACGCGGCTTTCCGGAGGAAGGAGTAAACCAAAACGATGAGCTACAGGCCAGGAGAGGCGATATGGGGCAAGAGAGCTAATGACGCCTTCCCCTAGGCTGGCCCCTGCATTCCCCCAAGAGAGACCTTGTTCCCTGAGGTCCCTAAGGGGTCCCCCACTGTGTGGCCACCTCTGTCAGGGTAGGGGCCATGTCTTTTTCAACTCTGCATTCCCAGGGTCCAGCCGCTTCCTGGCACGGCGTGAGTGTTCGGAGTTTGCTGAATGAAAGTGCTGGTGCCATGCTTAGAACTATCAGACAAGACACTCCTTGCAGAGATCAGCAAGGGGAGAGAGAAGGGAGGCCCAAGGGCACTGGCCAGCCGGGCCTTTGGACGATGGCGCATGGAAGAGAATCTTGGGAATTCTGCTTGTTCTCCCAGCCCCTTCTTCCCCAAGGCCCACCAACCGGGGGCCGTCCTGGGAGAGACTGTCATTCAGGGAGTCCCTATCACTGTGGCTGGTGTCCATTTGAACAGTTGGGCCCCTGTTGCAGCACTTGTGAAAGTCTGACTGCCTGCCCCCGCTGAGACATTATGGTCTGCCCGCCGCAGTGCCCAGGACTCACCACCCACAGGACGATGTTGAGAAACAGCACGGTGGGCACACCGCCGAAGGGCTGCCCCTGCAGGACGGTGCTGTGAGACTGGAAGCACTCATTCACCGACATGTTCTGTGTCTTTTCGGCCACATTCAGGTTGCCTGGTGTGACAGCCATCCTTCAAGGTCCCCTGGTGAACAGAGGGGTGTCCAGGTCAGACGTGATTCAATCTCTCTCACTTTGCAAAATGCAGGAGCCCTCTCAGGAAGCTGGAGGGAGGTGCGCTGAGTGCACATCAGGCCCAGTGCCCACTGCCAGCTTATAACTGGTCAAGGCAGGTGGGTGGCCTTGAGATGACACACAGCCATACCCTGTAAGGGAACAGATTCCTCAAACCCAGGGCCGTGATGGTAGAATTGCTCAGATAGCCTGGGAGCATTTGTATTTCATACCACTTGATTCATTTAGAAAAATAATGGTAAAATGAACATCTAAATGGTCTTTCTAATTCTACCTTGGTGAAGCTTTTCTTGTATATAAATGAACAAACTTCACAAAGGTGGGTCAGGTCTCAGAGTGGAAACATTCCATTTAGAGGATGGAGCCAGTGCATTCACAAGATGCCTGTGCTGATGGTGCTCACTGCTGATCACCTCTAACATCCTATGATTCTCGGATGCAGTACCTAGGAGAGGCTGTAGCTCCTAAAACTAAATTAGGTGAGGATGGAGAGTGCCTCTCATGTAGCAGTGACTCAGTAAACGTCACTACCTAACATTGATCTTGAACTGGGAGACCAGCACCCGTCCAGGGATCTGAGCCAATCCAGTGATCTTGAGCATTCTGAGAAGACTCAAATGCAAGGCTCCAGGTCACTGGATGAATATTCTTCAGGCATGGATAAGAGTGAGAAAGCGTGAATGAAAATTGGAGGCAACTGGTAGCTTCTTGGACTTAGCTGCAAAGTTGTTATGATTTTAAAAGATCGTTCCTTTTGGCTCCAGGCCTCATCTCATCCTAGAAACTCTTCATTCTCATTCAAGAAAAGTAGGTTCATTCATTTATTCATTCAACAAATATTTAGTGAACAATTGCCTTCTGCCAGACTAATACTGATGATGCATCAGTGAACAAGACAAATAATATCCCTCCCTCATGGGATTCTGGTGGGAAGAAGCAGCGCAGAGGTGAGGGTGAGATTAGAATTGTAGAGAGCATGATTGGGGAAGGCCGCACCGAGACGATGCCATTTGAGCAAAGGCTTGAAGAGAAGGAGCAAACCATATAGCTACCAGAGAAAGGGCATTTCAGGCAGAGCAAATGGCCCGGGGGTGCACGCTTATCTGGAGCACTGAGGAAGAGCAAGTGAGCCAGGGTGGCTGGACAGGGGAGAGAGAAGGGCATGGGCAGGGTTGGAGGTATCGAGTCAAGGAATGACATGAAACAAGTTAGTATTAAAGGGATCACGTTGAACCTTGTATTGAGAACGAACAGAGAAGTAGAAGCAGAGAGGTCAGTTAGGAGGAAACTGTACCAATCTAGATAAGAGAATGGCAGCCTGCACCGGGATGGAAGCAATGGGGGTGGTGAGAAGTAGTCAGATATCAGAAGTATTTTGAATGTGAAGCCAACAAGGTTTGCTGACAGATCACATGAGGAGTGTGAGAGAGAGGAGCTCAGGATGACTCTGTTTTTGGCCTGAGAAGCAGGAAAAATCCAGGTGCTGTTATTGGATAGGAAAGACAGGACGCGTAGGCTGGGAAGTGCAGGGTGGTCGTGGGGATCGAGATTTGGGTTTGGACGTGCCAAGGGGAGATGCCAAGCAGGTGGGTAGCTATGTCGAGCCTTTAGTTCAGAGGAGAGACTGGAGACATAAATGCGGGCATCACCAGCGTCACTGAAGGAGCAAGTATAGTGAGGTTCAAGATCTGAGCGTGAGGATGTTCCCATGCAGAGAGGCGAGGCAGATGAGCAGGAGACAGAGAAAGGAATTGGGAAGAGAAGCCAGTGAGGAAGGAGGGGGGTGCCCTGGAAGCCAAGAAAGAAAATGATTTTAGGAAAAGGGAGGGATCAGTTGTGTTAATGTGGCCAAGTAAGATGGCAACTGAGAATTAGCAGAGTTGAAATAACGTGGAGGTTATTTGGTGGCCAGACTGAATCGCTATAAGAGAGAATGAGAGGCGAGGGCTTGGAGCCAGTGGGCGTGGCCAATTCATTCATTCAAAGAGGAACCAGAGGAAGAAGTGGTTAGAATGGGGAGAATAGCAGCACGTGGTATGCTGATAGGAATGATCCAGCAGGAAATGAAAATCTGGTGATGTAGGAGAGATGGGGGACTCGCTGGAGCCATGGGAGGATGTGGGAAGTGTGGGGAACTAGTGTACAAGTGGAGAAGCTGGCCTTTGCCCAGAGCCCAATAGCTGACCCCTAGCAGCAGGAGGGGAGGCAGGTGTGCTGCCGGAGCTTATGGACACACTCTCCTCATTGCTTCTACTTTCTCAGTGAAAGGAAGAAGGTCTCAAGTGAGTGTGCGATGCTGGTGGTGGGCAGATATGGGATGTTCGAGGACAGGAAAAAAGGTAGAAATAGAAATCTAGAGGAGTGATCTAGTAAATAGATTAGGAGAATGTAGCAGAATTGCTGGGCAGCACAGAAGGCCCATTGAGGATCACGGTGTTGGATTTACAAGAGCAGCCAGACTCCGATGCATTTCCCCTAGCCGTATTTATCTGTGAGGTTACCAATGTGGAAGAGGCGGACAACTAGGTTTAACCAGGGCAGAGGTTTTCCCAAGTATGAGAATGAGACAAGAAGGTTGAAGATGTATGCAAGGGAGTAATTTTAATTAGACATGGCGTTTGAGCTAGGTAAGGAGAGAAATGGGACATGAGATGGGTGAGGAACGGTGAAAGGCGTTGGAGTTCCAGACCAGTACTAGAGGTCATGAGCTGATAGATAGGAAATCGCTGTTGGAAAATGAGTTGGATGACATTGAGACTAAGAAGGAATTGCAGTTATTGGTAGTGATAATGTCTAGGGCATGACCATGGAGTGAGGGGCTGAGAAGTCAAGGCAAGAGTGTTGGAAGGATCATCTCTATGAATATGTGGAAACTGAAATCAGTAAGAATGAAAACAGGAACGGTCCTAGCCTGACAGTAAGGCAAGAATTGAACCTTTTCGGGAAAAAGGGGAGTGCCCCGGGGAAATTAGTCAATGTCCCTAACAAAGATGGGGAGAGGGATGTGTAGGCAGACACCACTGGTCCAAGACAGGCATTTCAGCAGGCGGGGAGAGGAGCCTGGAAATTGCATAGAGGAGCAAGAAGGAAGTTTCTCCCGCCCCCAGGCTGGTGCTGATGGGGGAGCAGCATAAGCCACTCTCTGAGAGGGCGGTAAGGGAAGTGTGGTCCTGGGGAGACTCTGGTTTCAGTTCCCAGTGGGAAGGTGGGGCACCGAGGACCTGGGGGGTGTTTCAGAGCATCCTGGGCTCTGTAGCACAGAATGCCAGCTCCAACACCTACTCGCTGAGAGAGTGAGCGACTTCAACCAAGCTATTTCAGGTCTCCATGTCTCTATTCATCTGTAAAATGGGGGCGGTGTTAGCAAGTAGTACCAGCTTCACCGTGCTGTTAAGAGGGATAAGAGTGTTAAGGCATGTCAGTCGTGGAGCACAGGAAGTATCACGATGTCTGAAAAATGAAGAGTGGATGGCGCAGAGTGGAATGGTTTTAGGATCTGGGGTGGGGAGGGAGGTGGGGATGGAGAGGGAATAAAGGTAAAGGGACTGGCATGCAGGAGTCGGGAGGCGGCCTGGGAGTCTGGGGCTCCTGCTCCAGCTCACGAAAAATAGAGAAAAAAGACATAATGAGATCAGCTTTGGAAAAAGGAAAGAGCACAAAACGCACTCTCCTTCCCTCTAAATTACCATCTAACAGGAGCAGGGAGCTTCTTGCCTGTCTTAATTTTCCCTACTTTCTGCTCCTCTCTCTTTCTGCCCAGGCTGCTCACTGTTTTGTTATAACTAGGTCACTGGTTAGCTCATTTAGGCTAACATTTTTAACTAAATGTAAAATTATAGTAGTTTACATTGAACACGGTATGTTTTAACAGTAAGGCTTCTGCCAGAGGGTCAGCGTAGCACTGATGTCATTTCATGGATCTCTTGGGGGATGGGGCAGGCATCCAGCCAGCCATCTCCTGCTGTCGGTCAGCAGCAGCAGGAAGCTACAGTTACTGGTGGCCACTGGGGGGAGCCCGCACCGAGAAATCAGGTGGGAACTGAGGAGGGATGCAAATCTGGTGAGTCTGAATGCCTTGGTGAGATTTCCTACCTGAGTCAGTTCTCCAACGATGGTGCAACTCAGGCCCTGAGGCTCCACTCAGCTACCGGGCTGCTGCAAAAGAACAAATGCAGTGGAGAGAACAAGAGACTTAGGGACCCAGGCCGTCTCCGCTGGCAGCAACATCCCTCAGGGCCCCTTTCCTCATCTTGGGCTCCAGAAGCTCATCCTCTATCACATTTGTGTTTTGCAGATAGCTTCTTCCCAGTCTATTGCTTGCCGTTTAATTATTTTCATGGTATCTTTTGAAGCACCAAAGTTTTAAATTCCAACAACATCCAATTTACCAAATTTTCTTTTATGGTTCATACTTTTGGTGTCGTATCTAAGAAATCTTTGCCTGACTGAAGGTTTTAAAATTTTTTTCTTCAGGTTTTCTCCTTAAAGTCTTATAATTTAACTCTTACATTGAAGTCTAGGATCCATTTTGAGTTGATTTTTACATTTAGCGTGAGAGAAAGATCTAAGTTCATCTTCTGGCATGTGGTTATTCAGTTTTTCCAGCATCATCCGTTGATTCCTCACCTTTATGATGAGGTGAAAGGCTTTCAAGTCTGTCTGGGGATTGGAACCAGGTCAAGGATGTGCAAGCGCTTGGTGAACTGCTGCACAACCAAGGACTTGTGGTTGTTGTTATTATTCAGTTAATACTATGTGTGATGAGGGAAGGGCAGGGGGTCCTGGGTGTGAAAAGCTCTAGGCACTCATCTGGCTCTAAGAAGAAGGTTTGAGTTCTGGATGCTGCTCTTTTCCACTCAGCTCCCACTCCCTCATTCTCTCTCATTCCAAAAGCATTCTTCCTTTACGCCCTCCCTCTCTCCTTCCTTCCCTCCTTT